TAAAAACAAATGAGTTCAACTCAACATTAATAGTCCTACTATAATATATTTTTATTTCAGCCAAATTCTGCCAAGAACTCCATGCAACATATATGATCTTTCCTAGTCCAACAGATCTTTAGAACAATCTTTAGAGATCATAGATTGCCAAGATGATATTCCTCCTCCTCCTCCTCCTCCTCCTCCTCCTCCTCCTCCTCCTCCTCCTCCTCCTCCTCCTCCTCCTCCTCCTCCTCGTCTTCCTCCTCCATTGCATTAAACTGATGTCAATGAAAAGCAGAGAAAAATACTAAGGTACTCAAGTAACTCTGAAATCACATAAGCAAAGTTTTTTTCTCTCTGAATATAGAATCTTAGCTTTTGCTTAGTTGCTATAGCAGGTTGCCACAGTAACAGCCATTATTAAAACCCATTAAACTATTTATTAGAATTAGGGCAGAAGGGGTGAAGGTTGGGAAGAGGTAGAAAGCAGTCTAAAAAAGTAAAGATTATACAATTAAGAATAAGGTAACAAAATTCTGAGGATACTATCCCAATGTGTTTCAACAGCCCAAGATATACATTCAGAATCAGAATAGAGCTGGAAGGGACTTTGGAGGTCTTCTAGTCCAGCCCCCCACTCAAGCAGGAGACCCTACAGCATTTCAGACAAGTGGCTGGCCAGTCTCTTCTTAAAAACCTTCAGTGATGAAGCACCCACAACATCTGAAGGCAAGTGTTCCACTAGTTAATTATTTTCACAATTGTTCTCTCAGGAGATGTTTATATAGGAAAGCAGGTAACTGGGCTTCCCTTGTCATCAAACATGATCATTATTTTTTAACATGTTCATTTAGAAGGATCAGTTGCGGAAGAGAAAGATCTTAGAACGGGGGTGTCAAACTTGCAACGTCACGTGACATGTCATGAAGTATCGCAACTTTTTTTTCCATTGCTGGCAATGGGATGGGCACAGTTTCAGCATGATGCATCTGGCCTATGGGTTGGCAGTTTGACACCCCGTCTTAAAACTTTCTAAATCTGTACTTATGAGAGCTACAAAGACTTACCAGTACTTACCAGGAAGAGCAGCTGTGCTCAAGTTTTGGCTTGATATACCTAGAACATTTTTATAAAAAAAAAAATCTGTAAGTGCTGGGGGGGGGGGGAAAAGCAATCACAAATATTTTAATATAATTTCCAAATTATGGGAAGTAATCATTCCAGTCTATTTTACATTATCATTATCAACTCACTATTTCCAGTTTTGGACACTGGCTGTGTTCCTACTACATGCTAACCATAGTTTACTCAACTGTGGGTTAAAATAAAATCCAGCTACCTTGATCTGCATAACACACTGAGCCATGTTTATCTAGCGTGATGTGAAAACTCAGTTTTTAAGAATGTAAACAAAGTGTAAGAGATCACATCAGGAACATGGAAAGTAAATCTTGTGTGAAGAGACCGAGGAACTGAATATGTTCAACCTTAAAAGGAAACAAAGAAGAATTGGGAATCGCGAAGTGATAGCACTTAACACTTGAAAGAATGTAGCAATCAAAAAGCCCGTTGTCCTGGAATATAGGACACATAATAGTAGTCATGAATTGCAAAAAGAGGGATTCCCCTCCCCTGAACATAAGGAAAACTTACTCCATCAGGAAAAAGTTTGACAGAGGAGCCAATTACATAAGCAAGTGGTGATCTCACAGTGACTGGATGTTTTAAGCAGAGGATGGACAGCTATTGATTAATTTAGATTCCAGTAAAGGAGAATATTTATGGCTCAGGATTGAAATGAGGGACCCTTAGTGCTCTCTGAGCTTGGTTGTTTTCTTGCAGACATTTCATTACTCGAACTAGGTAACATCACCAGTGCTAGTGTTAGACTAGACTAGCACTGATGATGTTACCTAGTTTGGGTAATAAAACATCTGCAAGAAAACAACCAAGCTCAGAGAGCACTAAGACCCCTGATTTAGATTCCTCCATGAAACAGACAGTTGCATCTGAAAGGCATAAATAGTGTGTTCAAATCTAATGATTGTATGATTCTATGAAACTACCCATAATCTATATAATTAATTTAGAATTATTCCCACTCCCTCTTCAATTAGATTCCAAGTGAGGATATTGAATTCTTAGAAAAGCACTTGGAATTTTCCTCCTCCTCCTTAAATGAACTGGGAATTCTGCTGACTAAATCTAACAAATCTCTAAATGCCTGTAATATTTAAAAATCATTAAAATTTCTAAGTTGCTGTCTGGAATGTATTTGTTCCTACTGTTGAAATGCAATTAAAGTCATACTGAAAACATTTATTAACTGCAGAGCAGTGAATATTTAGATATCAGTAGTAACACAATTGTTTTTCCCATGGAGACTCCAAATTTCTTATTTTTATTAATGCTTTATTGAGACATTTCATTTTACAGTCTATAAGAATAGAATATCTTTTAAATATTTACATAAAAGCAATGAAAGTAACTCAGAACTTCCACCTAAGAGTCTTGGATATGAACCTAGAAGAATAGTTTTTCACAGCATTGCTCATAGAGATGCCAAGGATTTCAAATAATACTGAAAGTTGTACAAGCTTTTCAAGAAAGAGAGTTAAAGTAGAAGCCAAGGAACAGAACCCCATAATACAAATTGCTCAGCTTTAGAAACACTCACATTTTATGTACTGAGAAGGCATAATGAAGACCAAATAATGGAAATATGATTAAGGAGCAATCTATGTAATATATTTTTACATTCTTTATTATAGGAAACATTAACATTTTCACTTTCTATGTATGAAATAATAGCAATAGCACTTAGACCAGCGATTCTCAACCTTTCTAATGCCGTGACCCCATAATACAGTTCCCCATGTTGTGGTGACCCCCAAGTGGGTGTGGCCACCAATAAGAGGGAGCAGGACAGCTAGGGAAAAGGGAAAAAAATGGCGGACAGCATGGTTTGGTGACCCCTGTGAAATGGTCATTCGACCCCAAATGGGGTCCCGACCCACAGGTTGAGAACCACTGACTTAGACTTATATACCGCTTCACAGTGCTTTACAGCCCTCTCTAAGCAGTTTTACAGAGTCAGCATATTGCTCCAACAATCTGGTCCTCATTTTAACAACCTCGGAAGGATGGAAGGCTGAGTCAACCTTGAGCCGGTGAGAACTGAACTGCCGAACTGCTGGCAGCCAACAATCAATAAAAATAGCATGCAGTACTGCATTCTAACTACTGCACCAGCACCATATATATGTATGTAACCCCAGAACATCTGAGATTCATAAGCATCAGTAAACTAAGACATCAATTAGTCATGAATTGCTATTAGTGAATTAGTTGTAATCAGTGCTTTTTTTGTAAAAAAAAAAAAAAAAAAAGGTGCCAGAACTCACACACGTCATACAACCTGCCTTGCCTACCCTACAAGGTTCCATCCAAAAAAGGTGCCAGAACTCCATTCTGGGCGTTCTATGAGAAAAAAAGCCCTGGTTGTAGGAGATGATCAGGCTGAGTCTGAGGAAGGGGTCAAATGCATCATTGGTCATGAGTCCTTTTGTGCCTAGAGATCTAAGTCCAGCCGACTTTGAATTCCTGTGACTCTTATTCACCAGTGTCTCACTGTTACTCTTATTCCTGTGCTTAGGCAGTTTTTTTGGGGGGGGTGGATGAAGTAAGTGGGTGCGCATGGGGCACCTCCACCCCTCCCCCACCTGCCTTGCCTCATTGATGTGCCATGCAGCCTCCTGCCATGAGTGGCCACAGAAGAAGTGGGCCATCAGTCACACGGACTTCAGCTGGATGCTGCTGCCATGAGGTGAAAAATATAAGACATCCCCCCAAAATAAGACCTGATGCCTCTTTTGGAGGCAAAAATAATATTTTTGGGGAAATACAGTAGTAGTTCAGATTCTTGTAGAGAACGTAAGCTTGCAACAAACCTTTATACCCATTTGAACTGCCTGGATCTCCTGATTCCCCTGGCACTTGACATTAGTCTTCCTTTCATTGCATGTTTTTTTTTTTTTGGTCTAGACTAATCTGTATCAGGAGCCAGCAAAAAGAGGTTTTATTTTTAAAATCATTCTTGGTGCCATCATCATAGATTCATAGGCAATCTTCTAGCACAGTTCCCTGCCCAGGGCAGAAATCTTTGTACCATCCCAGATAAATGGCTGTCCAACTTTTGCTTGAAAATCTCCAATAATGGAGCACTCAAGACTCCAGGAGACAGGTTATCCTACTGTTTCACTGCTTGAATCCCAGTTTTGGTTGAAGCAACAATGATGTCCTTTGCATAACAACTCACTGAATAAATGAGATCATGATGGTTATGATATCTCTTGTCTCTTATAATCCTCAGCATAAAAATGGTGTACAAATATAAGTGTTTGGGAAAAAGTTGTACTGAGAAATTTATTTCATTGATTGTACATTTATCTAATAATGAACATTGTAACTAATGGGCTGCAGTTGACATTTTCCTGTTCTAGTAAAGTTATAACATTAAAATTATTTTATCCTGACGGTCTCTATGCTTAGTAGTTAGTAGAAGGCAACATGATGATTCTATGGCTTCACTGTAGCAACTATAAGAAGCTTTGTAGCTATTATTACTTTTTTTAAAAAAAAAAATGGGTGGCCAATGTTCTGTTCTTCGCGTTGGTAGGCATTGAACAGTCAGAGTCATGCACAGATAAGTCTTTATTCAAGTAGAAACAGAACAACAACAAAATGGCTCCAACCCCTTTTATACAATCTCCCTGGGGCGTCACCAGCCAATCATTGCAATGGCCTTTCCCGCTCAAATTGCATGCTTATTCATTCCTTGCAGACAGCAGGTCTCCCTGGGCAGACCACGTGATCTGCTGATTGTTCTGGTGCAGCTCCCTGCACCTGCTCTCAATCAAACCCAGTACATAACAGCCGGAATGCTTAAAAATGAAGCACTTCCTTCCAGATACCTGACGATTGATTTCAGTTGACATACTTCTATTACCGGATTACAAGCTTAGTTACAGTTTAATTGATTGCAAACAAAACCTTTGAGTTGCACCATCATTTGCTCTGATGGTTTGAGGTCAGCCCTGCTCTTAGCTAGTACGGAATCTTTTTAAGTAGCTGTCTTTGGTGAATTATTATATTCAGGCTGTGCTTCTATTCAAATAGAAAAGGTAAGTTTTAATACATTCATCTATATAGTTATAATTATTAAAAACATCTTTGGCATTTATTATGTTCTAAAAGAGCATATCATCTAAACACCAAGAATGTATTTGATAAGACAGATTAGCCTTTGACAGATGTGGCATACTGATTTCAAAGCTGAGAAAGAACTGAGATAAATTGTAATTTTCATGTAACTAGTACAACTCCCTCTCTCTTTCCCTCTGCCTCCTCCCTCCCTTCCCCTGTCTCTGTCTTTCTCTTTTTCTTGTGTACATGCAGTGGTGGTATGTAGCCAATTCGCACCAGTTCAGTAGAACCGGTAGCCAATTTTTTGTTGCCCAGGCCAGAATGGACTTCCAGAAGTGGCATCCACACAGAGAACTAGTTGTTCACATATTTGAATCCCACCACTGTGTACATGTCTCACAGACAGACATGTACATGCTTAGAAGTATGGCACATTTGACCTCTGGAAATTGTCTTCTTTTAAAGTCATCTAAAGTTGGTTATTTGGATCTGCAATTCATTTAGTATCTTTTGTTCAATAATTATTGGAATAATTTTAAATAAAAAATTAAGCTTTGCAAAAAGTTATTACCTTTACAGTTCTTCCTAACCCAGACAATTTTACCTTTTTCCATTTTAAGATATATATCATTATATTATTCCAAGTCTGTAAATAATTATTCTTAAATAAACCTTTGTTTCATTTTGTTAAATAAATTATCTGGCATTTAATTTCTGTTCGATGTTTATAATAAATAAATATATAGGGGGATTTGTCACAAACAAAAGGGTTGTAACTTTTCAACAGGAGGTTCATATTCCCAAATATTTTGGGGAAAAGAATTAAAAATAATAGCATATTTTATAGAAGCTGACAGATATCTGAAATGTTTTAAGAAAATTCACATGCTGGGCCTGTCTTGAAATTCTGAAATGGTAGAAGCAGGTTGCTTTTTCACACTTGCTTTTCTTTTCTTTTTACATTTGGTATGAAAATGGTATAAATTGCAGATATATCCCCAGGCAGAAATCCTATCAAGAGAAAAAAGTTCGTATTTTGTATTATTTTTGTTGTTATTGTTGTCTTCACAATCGGTACCAGTCATAAAAACCACACAAAACAGTGGTTCATGATGGAAGCGAAACATACATTAGCAGAAGCAGAAAACCTTGATAACTGAACTTTCTACTGAAGCAACTGTCTCATTCTTCACCTTGTCTTCAGCTCTCACAAGCTTCACCAATGTTCTTTCTGCTCCTAACAAAGCAAATGGAAGCTGGAAAACTCCTGCAATACATCTCTTCTGCATCACCTGGTTAATGATTATTGTGAAGTTCCAGATGATACAACAGTAGTGGGCCTTATTCATGATGATAATGAGGGCATTTACCGCAAGGAGGTTGAGGGGTTGGTGAACTGGTGTAAGGAAACAGCCTAGTTTAAATACTGGAAAAACTAAAGGAATCATTGTTGATTTCAGAAAAGGCAAGCATAGCCACACTTCTCTGTGCATTAATGATTCACCTGTGGATGGTTACCAGCATCAAATTCCTGGGTGTGCAGCTAATGAGTAGGCTGGCTTGGTCACTCAACAGCGAGACACTGGTGAAGTGGGCACAGCAGCGCCTGCATTTTCTGCGTCGCATGAGAAAAGCACATCTTCCTTCTATCCTTACCACTTTACACAGGGGGACAATTGAGAACATCCTGTCATATAGCATTATAGTCTGGTTTGGAAGCATCACTGCTTCAGACAGGAATGCGGTGCAGAGAGTGGAGAGAATGGCTGAAAAGATCATTGGCAGTACCCTCCCTCCCATCCAGGACGTAGCACAGAAGCGTTGCTTAAGCAGGGTCGCAAGATTGTCTGGGACACTACACAGCCTCTTCACGACTTGTTTTCCTTGTTACCTTCTGGGAGGAGGATTCGTGGTATCCAAAGCAGAACATCCAGATTCAGTCATAGTTTCATTCCATACAGCATTTGTGAACTCTCAAGCTTTCTTCTTCCATTATATTTTCAAGATGGACAGTGTTTAATATTTATTTGTTATGTATATGTAGGAATGTGAGTCTATACATTTGTTGTATATAGTATATTAGGTGTGTGTTTGAAAGTGGGCAACTAAATTTCATTTAGTGTCATTGTGCCCACAGTAAAAAAAAATCACAATAAAAGTTATCTTATCTTATTAATGCATTCCAGTAAAATATGTGTGATTGCAACCAAGAGCTGTCAGCCATGAATCTCGCCCTCTCCTTCCCCCCCACTTCCTTTTTCTACCCCTTCTGGACTTCTCTGATATAAAAAATAGACAAAGGGAGAAGTTTTTGTCAGCATCCTAATTACTAATATTAGATTAGTAATATCCTAATATTACTAATCATTAGGCATGCAGATGGGTATCAATTTGTTTGTATAATACATTATTATATTAAAGCTATGGAATAGAACGGGTCCCCAACACCCATTCTGTGGACTAGTACTGGGCTGCGGAATGCCAGCAACGGGGCCGCACAAACAAGCAAAGCCCCATCCACGGGATGCAGGCAGCACACAAAACCATGCCCCCTCCAGTCTGCGGAAAAACCTCTCCACAGAACCGATCCCTGGTGCCCAAAAGTTTGGGGACCTCTGGAATACAACAATAGGCCTGTCAATCAATTCTGCCTTGTAGCATATGACCCATTGTCCCTCCTACATCTGCATTTACTTTCCCGTCTCTCCCAGTCCATAAAAGTATTTCCAATATTTACCCTCTCAATAGCTGAGAAGAGGTGGATCCGGAACAGCCTTTATCTGTTGAGCAGCTACTTGTTCAGCTCTTCAGATCCAATCTGTGGAAACAGAAATATCATTTTTCAAAGATGGTACTCCTTCCACTGTGGTAATGCCATTCTCCAGTAAAAAGAGAAATGTGAAATTTCACATAGTAACATAAAATGCATACAAGCAAGCTTATATTAATAAATATAACTTGCAAATATGCTTTATACTGGGCAAATTTGCTTGCAAGAAAATGGGTCCATTAGGCAAAAGTGAATGTAATACATGGATATGTTAAAAAAAGAAGAAGACAAAATTGACATGGCAAAAGGACAAATATATATTCTACTAAAACTTTCATTGTCGTGTCCTTTAACTGTGTGAAATGCTATATCATGAGGCAACAAGTTTTTAACCAAGGTACTTCAAATAGAGAATGTGTCCAAAATCCATTTAGAGAATGTGTCCAAAATCCAGGAACCATGACTCCCAAGGGAATAAAATTTGGGAAGTTTGTGGCTGCTTTAGTGCCACTGGCTGCTTCTATATTGCTGTGTGCTGTTGTGTTCATATGATCTTCTTCTTCAATATTCTGTGAAGTTTCCCAGCCAGTCTCACAATCCGTCTCTCCTTTCCCCATCCACCCAGCAGAACTCACTTACCTGCCTACTGGAAAGAGAAGGGAAGGGGTAAAGAAGAAACAAATGAAGGATGGGAGGGAGAAACAGAGAGGAAGGAACTCTTTTGTACCCTTCTGACCTCTGTTACAATCCTGCATTCCTTCCCTGACCAGCGAGAAACCTCTTGTGTGTCCCCATGCACTCTCAGGCACTCTTCCCAACCTAACCCACTCTTCCATATTTCTCATGCTCCCATGCAACCCTCATGCCTTCTTCTTAACCCATACTGTCCCTTTCCCCTCATGGGCCTATCATACTTTCAGGGTCTGACTCAGTTGCAGTGCAGTTGCTCCAGGTACTCACTTGCCCCCCCCCCCAGCAATTCCTCCTGGGATTTCTGCACATCACTGAAGTGTGTGACTCATGATCAAGCAGCATGATGCTGAACTCACTACCAATATTCACAGCTGTGAATCTTCCATAGAGAGTGCATTTAAGTTCCCATAGGGACAACTGACCTCTTGCTAGAAGCAACAGTAGAATTTGGCTTGTCCATTGTGGCACTTGGAATCTAGTTATTTACAACCCTGGCTTGTTGACTAACAACATCCTCATCTCTCCCTTGGCATCATAAATCTTTGGCTTGACTTTGGACTGCTCAATTTGGAAACTTGCCTTGCTCAGCTAAGTCTTATCTATGATTAATTGCTGTTTCCTGCCACTTGTTGGGATTTGCAGAAGCAACACTCTGAATGCTTAGGAACTATATCTGGCTTCTGAAGAGGTGCTAGTGCAGTGGTTCTCAACCTGTGGGTCGGGACCCCATTTGGGGTCGAACGACCATTTCACGGGGGTCGCCAAACAAGGCTGTCCGCCATTTTTCCTTTTCTTTGGCCACGCCCCTGGCCAGTGGCCAAGTGATGTATAAGTGGTTGGGGGTGATGTATAAGTGGTTGGGGGTCACCACAACATGGAGAACTGTATTATGGGGTCGTGGCATTAGAAAGGTTGAGAACCACTGTGCTAGTGTTTCTCAATCTTGACAATTTTAAGGCATGTGGACTTCAACTCCCAGAATTCCACAGCCAGCATTGCTGGCTGTGGAATTCTGGGAGTTGAAGTCCACATGTCTTAAAATTGTCAAGGTTGAGAAACACTGTGCTAAAAGAAGCCAGGATGAGAAATCAGCCTATTTGACTGATGTAGCATCTCTTACACACACCTGTGACCCTCACTCACTCTTCTTGAACCACATGGTCTCCCTGAATACCCTATCCTACCCACACAACACTTTGTGCACCCTTCTTGATCTTTGCCACTCACTTGCATGCTCTCCCCAACCAATGTAGCATTCCTAGCATGCATCCATACACCCTTCCCAATACATAGGGCAATCTCATGCATCCCATATAACATTCTTGACAGGCATCCCCTTGCTCCTTCCCCCACCCAGTAGCAGCCACTTACCGGCCTGATTGCCTTGTACTTGAAGTCTCCTGCTGGATTCCCCACTGACTTGCTCTGTGCAAACTTCCAACAAGCAAAATAACTGAGAAGGAAGGAAAAATTCTGATGCCCGCTTTTAGTTTCCCACAACTCAATGGGAAAGCCAGCATGAATTTAGAAGACACTCCCATTCCCACTGTGTTTTTGCCCATATATGGTCATTCTATTTCTCTGTGTATGTAAAGAAATATCTCTGAAATGGAGTACAGGTTGCCTGGTTGAATTTAAATGAGAACCTGGAATACTAAAGTCTCCCTCTGATGGTTCCCTTTCAGAAATTAGAGTGCTTTGATAACTCCTTTGCTGCACTTTTAACTTTGGTGTCCTTGGGGTTGTCCTGATGCTTGTGCTCAACGAGTCAGCAGTTTTACTATGATTTCACAGTTATCACAGCTGGATGCAGCTTTAGATTGCTCCTTGCAGTGCATGTTGCAGCACATTAGTTTTTCAGTTGCCACAGTATTAAAACAGATATCAAACTGGTCTAACTGAACTTTGTTTGTCTGTATTGTAGGCTTCATTGACTTCTTCAGGCTGGTAGTCATGAACAAAGCATATAACTGGCTGTTCCTAATCTTGCTGCTGGTTGCAATTGAGAATAGCGAGGGGTGCTTCTGTGACCATTATCCATGGACTCCCTGGTCTGGCTGTTCAAGGACCTGCAATTATGGGACTCAAAATAGGCATAGGTAAGTAGAAAATATCATGGTGATCACAGAACTGATACATTATTATTATTCAATCATCTTAAAAGGATATAAAAGGCCTCTGACTTTTCCCTACTTGCTTGCCTTCAAAAGTTGGATCAAAGCTTTAAGAAATATCCATTCACACTAGACCATCCTAATCCTGAATCCTTGACATAACTGCCCAAAGAAATTTTCTTCAGAAGTCTACATATGTTGGATCGAAGCTATTTATCTCAGTTGGGAATGATGGGTATTGCAATAAAATACATCCAAGGAGAAGCCTGTTGTCAGGTCCCCAAACCAAAAACATAAGTTCAGTTATTTATTGATCCACATCTATAGACAGAATCTTGTCAAACTGAAGCACTTTACTATTGCATCTAGTAAATATTAAATATGTGCCTTGACGTTCTGGATCAAATAGCTGCACCCTAAACTGTAGCCATGCTTTGTCCTTTTCAGCATGGATTCCATGGATCTTAGTTTCCTTGGTTTAACAGATTCTTCTGGTCACAACAATGCTTTTTTGGAATTCTAGGCAAATCAAAGTGGATGACTATTACCGAAAAAACTTCTGTGCACAAATTTGCACCACCCAGGAATCCAGAGCCTGTAACCAGCAGATGTGTCCAATCAACTGCCAGCTTGGAGACTTTGGCCCCTGGTCAGAATGTGATCCATGTGTTAAAAAACAAGTAAGTAAAATGTATGTTGGAAAAGATATAGATGTAGAGAGTAAGGAAGTTGATCTTGAGGGAGATATGCAAGAATCATTGCTTTGGCAAAAGGGGCTCAGTATTTTTTTAAGTTCAGAAGAGCGAGATAACATTTGAAAGCAGCTCAGGCAGATGACACCCGAATTTACCAGAGTATAAGAAGGAGGAGAACAAGGAAATACAGCACAATCAGGCTTGCAAGATTCTTTTTTATGTCCAACCTCAATAAAGATAGTTTCAGCATTTGAGGACCAGGAGTTGGCTTTTGGATTTATTGGCCACTTGATAAGCAAATGCCCAACTCATTTCAAGAGTGTCACATTCCTCACAGTGTCAGGAATATTTTTAAAGTCCATCTCCCAAGAGCTCCCAAAACATTGAAGGGGCCTACTCAGACAAAGAAATCTCAAAGGGGTGTTGTTCCCATTACTCTTTATTTAGATTCAGGTAACAATATACACTTGAAGGTGACTGCTAATTTCATAAATAAGAACATAGTATAAAAATTAAGCTTAACCACCAGACACTCCAAAGCTAACAGTGGTAGATCCAATAGATGAACAGATGCTGCTTGGTCCAGTCCAGTCCAGTCCAGTTTTTTTTATTATTATTATTATTATTATTATTATTATTATTATTATTATTATTATTATTGATGTTGGAAGAGACCTTGGAGGTCATCTAGTCCAACCCCCTGCTCAGGCAGGAAACCTTATACCATTACAGATAAATGGCTGTCCAGTTTCTTCTTAAAAGCTTCCAGTGTTGGAGCATTCGCAATTTCTGGAGGCAGGTTGTTTCACTGATTAATTATTCTAACTGTCAGAACATTTCTCCTTAGTTCTAGGTTGCTTCTCTTTTTGGTTAGTTTCCATCCGTTGTTTCTTATCCTGCCTTCAGGTACTTTGGAGAATAGCTTGACCTCTTCTTTGTGGCAGCCCCTGAGATATTGGAACACTGTTAGCGTGTCACTCCTAGTCCTTATCTTCCCATTGTCTTAGGAATTAAGTTGCTGCAGTTACAAATCGAGATTTGGACTGGGCACAAGAAACTATTTCATTCCCATCCCCAAAATGTCAGTAACACTGGTTGTCCCCATAACCCAGTTCAGTACAGCAAATGATTTATTTTTACATAAAATACTCAGATTTTGCAGATGGGTTTGGAAAAGAAGAGGGTTAAGGAGCTTAACCACCATCTCAGGGTGGTTAAGCTCCTTAACCAGGTAAAGTGCCCCCATGACCTTTTATCCAAGTACTAATTAAGTCCAATCCTGTTATGATTTATTTATTATTTTGAGGTCAGCCAAGGTGGGTTTGGTGGTTCCAATTGCTTCATTCCTTTCTCTAAAAGTACCTGGATAAAACAATCTCTGTTTAGTTATTATCCTTCTGTTTTTTTCAGTTTCGTACTAGATCCTTTAACCAACTAGCTCAGTTTAAAGGTCAACCATGCAATGAACCTTTGGTGGAGTCGCGACCGTGTTTTTCCACAAAACTTTGCAACCTGGAGGAAATAAACTGTGGCAACAAATTCCATTGTGAAAATGGTAACTTGATAGTATCTTCCTTTTTATGATTTTGATGCATTAAAAATACAAATAGTATAAATACAAATAATATGCTTTTAAAAAGACAATAAAAGTGCAATTTTTAAAAAAGACACATTCATGAAAATGAAAGACCTTATTTTCGCAGTTCAAGAACAATTTTGATGAACAAAGGTAATAAAAATTGAAACAGAAAATTTTGTAAGACAGTAAATGCTGGTTATGCAAAGAACAGGAAAAGACTGTTAAACATTTGGTATGTGGATGTAATAAGATTATTCAGAGTATTTGGAAATAGTGACTATATTGATTCATTGGACTAAGAATTATAACTTATAAACATCAGTTGCTGGAGACAGAAGGTTCAATGGAAAGAACTAGAAAAATAATAGAGAAATATAAAGATCTTCAAATATAGCTGGAGTGAATGGTGAAAATGAAAGTAATAGTGTGCCAGTTGTTATGGATTGGGATGTATCAAAAGATCTGGAAAAGTATTTAAGGCACAATTCCATGGGAATGGAGAAAATCTCAACTCATCAATTACAAAAAGTCTCAGTATTTGAAACAGCACATTTATTGTAATATCGTAAAAGTGTCAAATCCAGAAATATCTTATAGACTAAGTGTAAATAGTAACAACAATAATAATTAATTGATAGTAATAACAATACCATTGGACGATCATCTATCCGAAACCATCTCTGCAATTTTAAAATGTTGCTTAGTACATTAACGTCATGTATTGACTTTGGAGGCATGGAAGACACCGTATCTATACATATGTTGCTAAGCCAGAGTCTTTGGGTATAGCTACCTCAGGCTGGGATCTGGAAGTGGCAGGAACCCCTCCAGATGTGGAGAAGCTTTCAATAGAGAAGAAACTTCTATTGGCCATAGCTGAGGGCAATTTCTTATTCTTTGACACTCTTGTCAAATTTTTGGTTTCTTCCCTTGAATTACGATGTGTTTCTATGGTTCCCTCCCTTTCCCCCATAAGCATTCTGTGTATTTCCAATGATAGTTGTAGAGTTATCCCAATTTTACTGGCTCAAGCCTACATATGCACAATATTTCTTTCCTGCATAATAATGTAAGCCTTCATGGAAGTATTCATTCCTTACAGAGTCATTTGTCTGCTTTCCTTTATGGCTTCCAACTCCTCCTCCTCCTCCTCCTCCTCCTCCTCCTCCTCCTCCTCCTCTTCTTCTTCTTCTTCTTCTTCTTCTTCTTCTTCTTCTTCTTCTTCTTCTTCTTCTTCTTCTTCTTCTTCTTCTTCTTCTTCTTCTTCTTCTTCTTCTTCTTCTTCTTCTTCTTCTTCAAAGGTCGTTGCATTAGTCAGAAGTTAAAGTGCAATGGAGAAAATGACTGTGAGGACAATTCAGACGAAAGGAACTGTCCACGTGTGAGACCCGTATGCACTAGAAAACATGAGAGTATTCCTGGTGGGAACTTAATGGGCCTTGGGTAAGCCAAGTTTAACGTGCTCAAGGGGAAAGAGGAATTAGAAGCAATAATTCAAAGGAATCAAAGGCATAAGCTATGAAAAGGAAAAGAAAACACATCTAACACTCGTTTATATAAAGACCATTTGTTATACTGTTTGATACTTTTCTGACCTTGCAAACCATCCAGGCTTCCTCCATATCTGTACATGGCTTCAAATGTTACCACCTGTTCTATAGTTATACATTAAAATGTTCAATTTCATTTAGAAGCAGTTATCTGAGAAGAGAAGAAGAGAGAGAGAAAGACTGCAGATAAACATTTAGAAAAGAACTTGTGACAGATAAGAACATGGAAAAAAAGGGAATCTAGTCTAATTTTATCAAACGTGATGCCTTCCAAGTATTTTAGATACAGCTCCCATCAGACAATAGGGCAACTATGGTTAGATATGATAAGAACTGTAATCAAGTATCTGGAGGTCACCAGCAATCATTTAAGTTATTGATGAATTTAATGAATCAGCTTTTGGCCTGTTTGCTCTGTTACAATATAAGCATGTGGCTTTATTTATTCTTCAGAAAAACACCAGCTTGAGTAGAACCCCCTCCCTTACTATGAATAATTAAGGACCTGGTCCAGGGTGCTTTGTGTGACTGGATGCAAAATTCCTATTGCTTTCCCTTAGATATCATATTCTGGCAGGAATGCATCGAGGTGAAGTTCTCCATAATTCTTTCAATGGAGACACCTGCAGACTTATCAAGACCAATGACTTGAGGAAAACATATCGTCTCCCTGCAAACTTAGAGTCTGTTTTCTTTCAGGTAACTATCAAAAAATATTAAACATGTTAGCTGTAAGCATGGGTTTTTACTCACCAACAAGTTATATTTATATGCACAAATGCTTTACAATGAGTGCTAGAAGTGTCTGCAGGACCTGGTCAAAAGAGTCAACACAGTGGCTGTGGATGGAAACTCTGCTTGTTCTTAACATGTCCACAAGGAGGGAGAGAAAATGGAACTAGAGAAAGGAGGTTACAGACATGCCAGGCTCAACCTAGACTTGAGCGGTGTGCAGGCGAACAGGTAATGAAAAATGTCAGCTCTTTGAAATAGGCCAGATCAAGAAACTGACATTTATATTTACTACTAATTTATTGTTGTGGTTTGTCAAAAACCATCACTGCTCTTTTCAAGGACAACAAGGTCATGATGGAGCTGTTCTGTATCTCCTCACTCTATATACTTTTTCAGAGTTGAGCAACCTTCAACATCCGAATGGCTTGCCTTCAGATGCTGGGGGTAACCCATCATTGCAGGCTTTCAAGAAGAGACTGGACAGTTTTTTGTCTGAAATAGTGTAGGGTCTCCATAATAATCTCCAAGGTCCCTTCCAACTCTGTTATTCTATATTCTAACCATTCTACATTTCTCACCTCTTCCTTAAGACCAAAGCTAAATTTCTCTGTAGAAGACACTTTTAAAAAAATGCAGCTGTGGGAATTCCAGCTATGGGGACTGGGTATCCGTTCTTTTCACTGCCCTTTAAGAAGTAAGATTCAGTCCTTTGTCAAACCAAGTGTCTGTAATTATATCTCTCCATAGGTAGTGAATGAAGAAGATGAAGTGGTTTCAGAATTTTACAATGACTTAATTCCCTTTGAAACCCATACTTCTCAGAGTGGTTCTTTCTCTGGTTCTGGCAAAAGTCGATCTGGAATCCCATTCCTGTTCTCCAAGAAGACAAAAGTTCACATCACATCCTCTTCCTCCTTCAAGGAAGCAATACAAGCATCAAAGAAAAAGGTATTGCTGTTTTCATTCTAGCTTTCGACTCCATCTACATAAGGGAGAGACCAGGAAAAGTCAGTGGTTCATTAGCCTGCTCATATAGAAAACATTTCTCTACTGAATTGCCTTTTGCTTTGCATGTGAGTGACAAACATTACTGCGTGCCTGAAATGTCAATGCCAATTGTTATAAATTTCAAGAAAAGGCTGTTCAATTCAGTTGGCGTGGTGGGAGAACAGAGCTATTATTTTTCCTATCCAGGTCATTCATTTCTGTTTTAAAAATGAAATTAAACTAGTTCAAAATGAGAAACATTTCTGTTTCCTAGTTGGTGACATCTGGCTTCTCAAATATATGACGTCTTTGGATTTGTAGCCAAATAAGACAGATCTCCTTTTATATAGTGATTACCAATGCCAACTAGAGACCAATAATCTTGCAGTATATCCATTTCAAAAATATAGCAGTCGTAAAATTTAAAGCACCACTGCCCCGCAATCAGGATATGAGTAGGTAGATGTGTGTCCAGAAGTGACTCCCCCATGTATTTGCTGGAAAAGTGCAGTAAAAGAATTATCCAAGAAGAACGTATCCAAGTCAGGAGTAGTGCCTTTTGTGAAGCAAGGTATAGGCAGTCCTCGGTTTATGACTGAGACTCTCCATTGATTCCATAGACAGTTGTCTTGGCAAGTAAGATCATTAAATGGGACAAAATTCACTTAACAATTGTCTTGCTTAGCAACAGAAATGTTGGGCTTAATAAGTCAAGGACTACCTGCATACAGGTGCCTTATTTGAAAGTAAGGGACTTGATAAAATCCTTTTGTTATAACTTCCACCTTCCTTCTAATAAATTCTATCCTGGCTGGACATGGAGCAGCATTTCTGCTTTTGTCTTAATATTTATATATGTGCAAATGCAACATGAACCCTCACTGGCTAAAAGCATATAATAAAGGGCCGAGGTGGCGCAGCAGTTAGAGTGCAGTACTGCAGGCCACTTTAGCTGACTGTGTTCAGCAGGTCAGCGGTTCAAATCTCACCGGCTCAAGGTTGACTCAGCCTTCCATCCTTCCGGGGTAGGTAAAATGAGGACCCAGATTTTTGGGGGCAATGTAAATATATATATACATTGCTTACTGGTGTATACCGCTTAGAGAGTGCTTGCACTTAAAGCGGTATATAAGTCTCATAAATAAATAAATATTACAATCCAGAATGTTTACTTTAAACAAATATGCTTAATGGCATTTGTTCCATTCGAAGTCTATATTCATTTTTCCAAGGAAGGCAAATGTGAGCATGATTTCTAATATTGTTTCCAGTTATAAAAACTGCTTTTATTACTGCAAAGATTATGTACAACTATTATTTAAATCTCGTACACTATTATTTAAATCTTTAGGATTAAAAAAATATTACACTCTACTATTAAATGAAGTAGAGAACTTAAAAGGGAGCTGGAAATTTTTTTCTAGTTTGGAGTGGGATTTTATTTATTTCATACTAAAAGGCTTCAAGTTGTATAGTAATGGTGCCACAAGTGGAAACATAGCTAATAGGTTCACTTCTCTTTTGGGGTTTCTGGGGAGTTTCAGGATAGCTTAAAACATGATAGCCCATGATGCCATCATGATGTATCTGTTTTAGAGCTTAATTGATCAAATAAAAGACATATATTGTATTTCCCAGACATAGTGTGCGTATGTGTTTGGGTATTTGGGTGCGCACGTGCATGTGTGCATGTATTCAGGAGCCACAGAAATGGATCGAGGACTATGTGCTACCTAAGTACAAATTGCTGACTTTCTCATTAAAAAACCTATTTCTTAAAAAAAAATATGGCCCTGGCTATTTATTTTGTTGGCTTTAAAAGATGACTGACAGATTCCAGTTTTGGTTCAACAGAACCATAATCATTACTAATCATTGCATAACATAGGTCTAGGGAAAAGATATTTTAATTATCAACTGGAGTCACATCCACATTTTCTCATCTTCATTTTTAGGTGTCCAACTTTATTAGGATTCATAGAGTCATAGCAGTATCCAACTTCACAACGAAGGGATCAGACTTGCAGCTGTCTAAGGTGTTCTTAGAGGCGCTTAACAGCTTGCCCCTGGAGTACAACTATCCCCTTTACAGCCGGATATTTGATGATTTTGGGACCCATTACTATGCCTCTGGATCACTGGGAGGCAGATATGACCTTCTCTATCAGTACAGCGCTGAAGAGCTGAGAAATTCAGGTATATGGTCCTTAGCCAAAGAAGATGGGGCCCATTACTGGGCCAGTAACTATATTGGGAAAGGAAAAGTTGCCTTACTATTTCACTGTGCAGCACTGTAATTCATCCTTTTCTTTCCAAGGGTTTTTTTTAGGGAGCAGGAGGTTGGACTAGAAGACCTCTAAGGTCCCTTCCAACTCTGTTATTCTCAGATGATTAAAAGAGAAGGGAACCAAAGATATATTTCTATCAAAGTCTGAAAAACAGAGTTTGGGAGAAGAGAATACTTAGAAAAATGGAAGGCATATAAAATGATAACATCTGGGAGAGGTCCTTGGTGGTCTCTGAGACATTTCATTACCCACACTAAGTAATATCATCAGTGGTGACATTACCTAGTTGGGTAATAAAACATCTGCAAGAAAACAACCAAGTTCAGAGAGCACCAAGGACCCATCATTCAACCCTGAGCTATGTTATTGATAACATCTGTGTTGCTGGAAGCTTTCTCTATGAGAAAGACCATTTAAAAAGGCAGATTTACGTGACTGCTTCACAGAGTGATCCTGCTGTGGTAGAGAAATACTCCAGTCATAGAGAGCAACTTAAACCCAACTGATGAGAAGAAATAAACAGCAAGGAATGTTTTCATTTCTTGGTTATTTTATTGTCTTTTACTATATTAAAATAATCACTGCATCCAGATGAACAGCTAATGGCACAAGAAGCTTCTTATTAATGTACTGCTAAGAATAAAATGCATCCTGCTTTTTCATCATTAAAAATATACCTGGCGTAAGAATACACATCATTTGCAGTAGCTAAAAACAACTAATTAAACCCCAAATAACAATTCTATTAAAGGTTGCTTAGAAAACTTATATAAGAAATGGGAAATTGGAACAATAATATCCAACCAAACCAAAAAAGTAAAGCAGCCTCAAATTAAGAAAAAACTGCATGTACAGATATAATTAAGAACAATATGTCCTTTGGGTCTTCCTATTGTAAACTCATTTTAATTTTAATTTTTCAGTCTCGCTTCCTTATATGTCAAATGCATATAATTTAGATGAAACTGTGGTTTCAGAGGGGAGGAAACAAGCGTGAATACTTATTTTGTAAATGCCAAAGAAAAATTTGGAAATAATTTTCATTTCTTAAGGTTTAACACAGGCAGCATCACAAGAATGCATCCGGACAGAAACAACCAGGCGTATCTTTGGTTTTAAAAGGAGGAAAGTGAGAACAAGCTGTACAAGCAACAGAATGGTTGCCCGTCATGAAGGTGATTATCAAGGAAAACATGACCCTTTGGGAACAGAGTGTTATAATTTCACTCCAAGAGCTTCCAATGACGAATTATAAGAATGTTAATACTGTTAGGATTGACTCAAACACTCGTGTGTCTCCTTTAATTTTCTGTTATCTTTCAGGAGGAGAGATCTAAAAATAGCAATAGCATTTATATACCACTTCACAGTGCTTTACAGCACTCTATAAGCAGTTTACAGAGTCAGCATATTGCCTCCAACAATTTGAAGGCTGAGCTGGTGAGGTTTGAACTCCTGGCAGTGGGCAAAGTCAGCCTGTAATACTGCATTCTAACCACTGCGCAAGCACGGCTCCTAAATATAAGTAGTCCTTGACTTACAATCACAGTTGAGACCAGAATTTCCATTGCTAAACTAGGTGGTTTTTAAATGAATCATATCCAATTTTACTCCCTTTTTGCCATGATTGTTAACTGAATCACTGCAGTTGTTAGGTGAATCACATGGTCATTAGGTAAATCCAGCTTCCCCCCAGTAACTTTGCTTGTTGGAAGTCAACTGGGAAGGTCACAAATGACAATCACATGATCTTGGGATGCTGCAACCATTGTACATATATGCCAGTTGCCAAGCACCTGAATTTTGATCAAATGACTATGGGCGTGCTGCAAAAGCCATAAATGTGAGGACCACTCATAATTTTCCAGTGCTGGTATAACTTTGAACCACTAAACTAATGGATGAAAGTCAAGGGCTACTTGCAAAGCACAGAGGACTAGGACTTCTTATGTTTTGAGAATTAAAAGAGACCAGCCCAAATGTTGCTTGCTGCAAGCTCATCAAATCTATAGATATCAAAAGAAAGATGCATCTTTTGTATGTAATAAAGAGAATAATTTCAAAAAGGGCAAATAGCTGGAAGGGATGTCCAAAAGTTAGGGTTAAAAAGAAAGTTGATAGTGGTGGTTCATTCAAGGATCTGCCTGTTTTATATGTGCATTGCACATCTTGACTTTTTTGATCTATATTTGTTTCTGAGATATCGAACGAAGAAAGTTCAGAACCAAAATGTAAATAATGTAAAATGAAAAGGTTCTATTCCATGATAAGCAAACATTATGTAAATTTTAGTGAATTTCTATGGAAGTCCAAAACATTTGATTTCCTAAAGATAGAAAACTGGTTCCCCAGCTTCTAGTACCCATACTCTGCTTCAGTTTTCAGAAATTCTACAAGATTCTTTCAAAATGCTTGAGGGCTAGAAGCTTGTTATGAAAAGGGAGGGAAGGATGTTTATTTGGGGGCCATCTGTTAAATTCTGCAAAGGAGGATGTTGAATACATACAGCTTTATTAATAGCCCTTAGTGTAGCCAAAGCTCTTGTTTTATAGCGTTTATATGGTTGTTGAAGAAGTTTTATAGCATAATAAATCCTGCAGAAGCTATAAGTGTGAGGACCACTCATAATTTTTCGGTGCACAATGGATAAATCCATTCAAAAATGTAGCAAAGGACATTGATAGGTGAAGATGGTTTACTTTATTTCTTTCTGATTTCCAAGAGTGTCTTTGATAAAATCTTTTCTGTTTTGACTTCTGATGGTTGCTATGAACCTACTTGCTTATGTTGTTGCGCCAATCACAGGCCTTAAATCTGCCTTCCAGGTTCATTTCTGCAATCCTCAGAGAAGTCTGTATCCTTCATCAGAGGTGGAAGATCCCAATTTGCTGCAGCTCTTGCCTGGGAAAGAAAGGGGGCTTTTCCTGAGCACACCCTCTTTACCAATTGGCTGGAGTCAATGAAGGACAATCCAGCTGTGATTGACTTTGAGGTAAAGATAAAGGAGAATATTTGTAGCTCAGGGTTGAAATGTGGGGCCCTTGGTGCTCTCTTTTCTTGCAGACATTTCATTACCCAAACTAGGTAACATTGTCCTTTGAGGTAGGAAATCAAATTATCTTTCTTCTAAATATTGAGCAATTCTCTCTTTTGCAGCCTTCAATTTGCTATACCATTCCTTATAATATTTCTTAATTATCTTTTTTATTTCTTCCTTTTTAAATTGTAAACAACCTTTCCCATCTACTAAGTTATGTATTATTTTCTTCTCTTTCTGTTTTTTGAGCTTATAAGCTAGCCATCTTCCTGGCTTGTTGGCATTTTCGAAAAAAAATTGTTTTGCTCTCTTTATTTGTTCCGCCAATTTTTCTGAGTCCAACAAATTCAGCTTATGTTTTATTATTTCCATTTCTCTTTTCAAAGTCTTTTTCTGTGGATTTTGTTGTAATTCTGTCTTCAAGTTTATAAATTTTTCTTTTAATAATAAATATTGCTGTCTTCTCCGTTTATTTTTCTTTGCCATATGTTGTTCGTCCATCGATTTTGATGAAGACCTTGACATCTTGCGGGTTATGGGCCATCAACGATGTGTCCGTAGGTGGCTAATAAGACCGATGTTAGCACGAAATGTTCTGCCACATACTGAACAAAGAAATGTAGACACTGTTACTTCAGCATTTGCAGTTATACCGCTAAAATACGCTTTAACTATATCCCATACGTTTTGTAGTGATGTGTCTTCTTCTTTATTTTCTTTAAAGAAGAATTCCATTTCTCTTTTTGCCAAGCCTATGAATTCTTTATCTTTTAGTGTAGATTGATTTAAAATCCATCTTGGGTTTTTTTGTGTTCCTTTCCATGTTGCTTTTAAAGGGTTATGATCTGCCCATGTACCTATTTCTATCTCAATTTCCTGTATATCCATCTTTAATTCAGAAGTCATCCAGATCATATCAATTCTTGACCAGGATTTATGGCTATTTGAGTAAAAGGTATATTGTCAATTTTGAGGATTGATTTCTCTCCAGACATCTTGAAATCCAATTTCTTCTGCCATATCAAAGAATGTCTTGGGTAGTCTTCTTCTTACGGGTTTTCCTGTTTTGCTACTTTTGTAATCCATTGTTCCATCTACTAATGCATTAAAGTCTCCTATTAAGCAAATATTTTGGTATTCCATTTCTATTAATTTCCTATGTAATCTTTGATAAAATTGTTCTTGACTATCATTTGGGGCATAAATTGCCACTAACAGTATTTGTTTTTGATGTAAATATATTTCAACCATTACAATTCTTCCTTCTTCATCTGAATATATTAATTTAGAATCTATTGTCTCTTTAACGTATTATCGCCACCCCTCGTTTCTTTTTTTTGTGCTGATGTATAATAAAGCTTCCTCATTTTCAGGTATTCCAACAATTTATAATGTTGTTTTTTATGTGTGTCTCTTGTAAACAGATTATATCTATATTTAATTTCTGAAGTTTCCTAAAAATTTTATTTCTTTTTATTGGGGAATTTAGTCCATTTACGTTTACCGAAAAAAATTCATTTTTTTCTCCATTTCCTCTTTCATTACTTGTATTTTGGTTTAGTCGATCTTGTAGTCCTTTGCTCTCTGACAATTCCTCCTCTTTCACCTGTTTGTTCACTTTTCTCCTGCTGTTGTTCTGCTATCCTCTTGTTGTTGCTGCAATCCTTCATCCAAAATTACTCTATTTCTTACTTCAAAGTCCTCTGCTTTCCAAATTGAGTCCAGTCGATATCTTGTATTATTCCAGTTTATTAAAATGCCTTCTGGCATTAGCCATCTGAAATTTATGCCTTTGGCAATCAATTTTGTAGTTAGAAAATGGTAGTGTCTCCGGGTATCCCTTACTCTCCTGGGTATCTGTTTTAGGACCACAATTTCTTTATTTTTATATTATAAGGGTTCCTCTCTCACTTTTCTCATACTTCATCTGTTATTGAAGAAATCAAACTATCTCTGAGGGTAGCCTTCCATTTGTTTCTGAATGGAAGCCTTGAATCTTCTTAGAAAAATGGCAACAGGAGAAGCATTTGTCAGCCACCTGTGACTATCAGGAATACAAAGCGAGATATTACTAATCAGATTGCAATAACAGTGTAGGTAGTCCTTGACATACGACCGGAATGGAGCCTGCCTGTTATGATCATATGTCTTGATGGTGATAAAAGGCTTAGTCCAGTGGTGGGATTCAAATATGTGAACAACTGGTTCTCTGTGTGGATGCCGCTTCCGGAAGTCCATTCTGGGCCTGGGCAAAAAAAAAAAAAAAACTACCGGTTCTGCCAAAGTGGTGGAAACTGGCTGAATCCCATCACTGGCTTAGCCCCAAATGAGCTTTGTACCATTGGCCTTTGTGCAGGAAATAGGATTGCTGGTGTCTGAAAATAAATGTGCTTTTTTGCAGCAGTCGTTAAGTGAACTCCACTAGCATTAAACTAACCAATGATTTGCAATAGGCATGGTTTTGCCAAAAACCAAACAATTTTGGCAAAATCGTTATAAAACACAGTTACGTGACTCTGGGAAAAATGGCCATAAATGCTGCAGTGCTGCTGAGTGCCCAAAGATCAGTCATATGATTGTGGAAGGGCTCAACTGTTGGAGCCTCAGAACTGGGTCATAAGTCCCCTTTTTTTGGGTTGGTGGTAATTTCAAATGGGTGCTAAGCAACTGGTCATAACTCGAGGACTACTTGTAATAAATAGCCTGGTAGAGTTTTGCTATTCAAGATCTCCCATTGCATTTCCCCATCCAGTCTTCCCCCCTCCCCTACCAGAACAGCCAAGGAGCATTAATTGAACTTGCTCAGCATTAATGGAGACCTCCAGTTTTTTTCTTCCAGCAGCTGAGGTTTCCCCCCATTCCTTGACACTTCTGTCTGAGATCATAGCTGATACTAGTTGGCTCCTACCTCTGAAGATAAAAAGTATAGGAAAATGACTGCAAATTTGAAATAATTTTAAAAGGTTTGAGAAAAAATGCAGTTCCCTGATCACAGGCCTACTGTTTAATAGACATAATAGAAAAGAGGGAATGGATGGAAAGGGATTAGGAGAATGAGGAATTTCAAGCATAATGTTCCATAAAGTGTTACAATACCGAAATAATGAGAGATTTAAAGGTTCTGGGCAGCCTTCCCCACTGTCAGTATATATAAAATTAAATTTCCTTTCCAATTGCTGTTGGGGAAACAAAGAGAAATACACAGGAAGAAAACATAAATAGATTCATTGCATTACAACCTTTGGTTGCTATGTGTTTTTCTGCTATCACATAGATCAACAGCCAAGGGATTTATTGTTCTCCTCCTCCTCAAGTTCATTCCTCATTTAAACAAAGACACAAATACCATACTTTAGAAATCAAAGACAACCCTGATTTCATGAGGTTAAATAATTAGTCAACATTACATGTGATTGCAAGGTGGGGAATTCCCAGAACTTAAAAAGCTTGCCAACTTCTGTGATATGATATAGTCTCAGTGAAATAGAAAGCTGGATATGCAAATATATTGAAAGGAAATGTTAGCATTAGACATTGAACCAGGAAGTTATTTCTGACAAATCTTTTAATTTGAAAACCTAATAGAGCCACAATATGTTTGGAAGTAATGTATCTTGTAATCTATGTGCCTGCTGAACATAATACTGTTGGAGGTTATGCCAAAATATTACATCTTATGCATTTCTGATTATTTGTAGGGTGGTAAGGTTTTTTTTTAAAAAAATAAAATAAAAATAGAATTTGTGGCTGAAACAAATAATTCAACTCTAATTTTTCTTTCATTTCAAGTAGGAGCAGGCTTATTTTCAGACACTGCCACTCCTATTTCCTGCACAAAGGCCAAAGGTGCAAAGCTGATTTGTGGCTTATCCCAGCTGGCACCAATCTGACACCTCTTACAGACGTGTTGGACTAAAGCTCCCAGAATGTCCACCCAACATAGTCAACTATGTCATGTGTGAAATATAGTCAGATATGGTTGTTTCCTTTTACCAAATGGTCAACAAAATCTTTGACCTTGGCAAGAGGAATGCTAGTTATCTGTCTTCACATCAACTGGATTATGTTCCAAGGTCCAGGCTAGGAGAAGCTTTATTGTTTGACTGAGCAATTCTAGGAGTTGAAGTCCACACATCTTCAAGTTGCCAAGGTTGAGAAACACTGGTCTAAAGAGCATCGAATTCTGAGAGTCACTTTGATATTAAGCATAACGGAAGTAAAACAATCACTTATGGCTGGAATCCAGAATAAAGAAAGGGCATCAACTGCATAGGATTGATTAAAGTGAAAGGGAAGAAATGCAGAAACAAGATTAAAGAACCTCTGAGGTTTGCTAACATCGGCCTTTGTTCAATGTTCTATGTAAAGCACATAGAAAATACAGTTTTGTTTTGTTATGACTTCCTGATCAATACCATAAGGAATATTCAATGGTGGGATGAATGAAACATTCAAGCAGCTAAGGCTGTAGGGGAGTCTTCTTCAACCTAATGCTTTCCAAAAGTTCTGGAACATAGTTTCTATTATCAATAATTGTTTGTCCTGCTATCCAGACAGTTCTATAGATAGTCCTCGAGTTACAACTATAACTGAGCTTGACATTGTAAATTGTAAGTTGTGATGGTTGGTTGTAAAGTTGATAACCATGTGATCATCCTGATTTTATGACCATCTTTGTGGGTAGTCATTAGCTGCATACTGTGGTATTAAGCAAACATTGTGGTCATTAAGTGAATGCTGCAGTTGTTAAGCAAAGCCATTGTTTGCTATGGGCTGTTGTTTTGCTGGAAATCCAAAGTAAATACTTGTTTTTGACAAAACCACTGTAAATTGTGATCATATGACACAGGGCACTGCAAATGGCTGTAAACGCAGGCTGATTGCCAAGGACCCAAAATGCAGTCACATGACTGCGGGTAATATTGGAACTTCAAAACCAGGTCGTAAGTCCGTTTTGTGGAGTCTGTTATAGTCAGATGATTCCAAGGTGAAGAATTCCCAGAACTTAAAAAGCTTGTTAACTTCTGTGATATGATATAAATGAAACAGAAACTGGACATTCTAATATATAGGTAGGAAATGTTAGCATTAGATATTGAACTAAGAAGTTATTTCTGTCATTTTTAAACATTTGAATATCTAATAAATGGAACTTCAAAATCAGATTGTAAGTCCCTTTTGAGGAGTCTGTTGCAACTTTGAATGATTGCTAAGCTATCTCTAAACTATCTGAAGGGCACCCACTTCAAAAATTATTGGTGAGAAAAAACAATGTTCTAACAAAATGCGACCATATTGACTTTTCACAATCATTAGAACTAAGTTCTTGTAAAACTAAGGAGGAACCATAATGATTTCTTCAGCAAATGGCAATGATGACTCCGGTGTGATGATGTCATTGCACAAACGCTTCTTTTAGATATTTGCATGATAAGGTCCAACCCAAGTATATGTCACAGAATGGAGTATGATGTCATCATGCAAGAGTCCCTTCCCTTCCTCTCCCCTCACCCCGAATTGTTCAAATTTTGCCTGCTATCAGATGCTTGCAGAGTAAAATTGTGGTAGAGTGGACTGTTCATAGCTCTGTTGGTGTCTACCTCTTGTGTTTATTAGCTGACTTCCATTCTGGAGCTGGTGAAGAACATCCCCTGTGCAGCAACTAAGCGTAGCAATCTCAGAAGAGCTCTTGCTGAGTATGCAGCACAATTTGACCCATGCCAGTGTGCTCCATGCCCCAACAATGGCAAGACAGTGCTGTCTGGAACAGAGTGCTTGTGTGTGTGCCAGGCTGGGACCTATGGCGATAACTGTGAAATACGGGCACCAGATTACCATTCAGGTATGTGAATTTAGAGTAAGAATGCAAGTATTTCATTACATAGAGCTTTCCTAATCTTCTAGATTTTGATATAAAACGTGTCTTAGGTTAATCCAGGCTGTTTCAACTTTTGGCAAATCTGTTCCCCCTCTCCCTTTCCTTAGAATTCTTCCTGTTCATATATTAGCCCCAGGTAAAGTTAGTAAGGATGAAACTGAGTGGAGATAATTAGGAATAAATAGGCTGGAACTGTTTTCTTTCAAGTGAGATAAAGAGAACAAGCTCTCCTTTTCTTCAACAGGAATGAACAATTTGGCAAAGCATTAAACTGCTTCAGTGTATGCATTCCCTCCCTTGCATTAAGTAGTTAAATCCCCCTTTCTTTAACTATTTATCATATTTCCTTCCTTCCTTCCTTCCTTCCTTCCTTCCTTCCTTCCTTCCTTCCTTCCTCCCTTCCTTCCTTCCTTCCTTTTTTAAATGTGGGTGAGAAGAACTGCCCTAAAATGGAATCTCCTCATCCACAGAGACGATAGTAATGGCAATATATCAAGATGGGTAAATATAATCCTTTGATCATAATTTCATTTGACTGAAAAGAGGTTTATTATCTCACATCAAAACCAGGACTGTACCTTAAATAGAATAGAAAGCATATTATTGAGCAATATCTAATTGCAGCACTAAGTTGGATGATGCCATATGGAGGTTTCTCACTCCATGGGCTGGCAATACCATTGGGCATATAGGCTGAAACTGACAGAAATTGTAGCCTACAGCATCTGGAAAGCATCAGGTTGCTTATGCCTCTGAAATATTCAGCTATTTCTGGGTGGAAATAAACAGGCCAGGAAAAACCAGGATCAATGGGTAAATGCAGCTCAAGAGAAACTATCATTCATAAGAAAGGAGCTAAAGATGAAAAAGAGGAATAGTTGATAATGGGAAGGAAGGAAAGAATAAACAAGTACCACAGATTTGCTCTTGATTTGGGGATGGTGTAGCAACCTTTCCTCTACTTCTTGACCATCAAAATGCTAGAAAAGCATCAAAGAAAAATTATACAAATTCCTGAGCCAAAAGAACAACTTTGGGGGCAGAAGGATCTTCCTTCTCCATCTGCCTCTTCTTACCAATGTACCAATATCTTCAGGGAAAGTTTTAAAAGGAAAGTTGATTGTTCAAGCAGTGCCACTGAAGCTTTACCCCATTGTACAACATACATGTACAATGTCAACAATTTAGAAAAAGGTCGGGATTTCAATGGTACAACTGTGAACACCATCTAGCCTTTTTGTGATTCCCTCCCCATGGATGTGGGCAATGTGTATCAGCTGTGTATCATGAAAAACAGTTAGAAAAACCTGGAAGAAGGGTTCCCAACCAATATTCAGGGATGACTGATGCTCCATACGCATTTTGTGGGTATCAAAATGAAAATAAATATAAAGATTAAATTAATAATGTTAAATAAGGTTTTTTTTAATGGCCCAATTCTCAGGAGACAAACATTTTTATATTATTTTGGCTTTACCACTGAAAATCTTGTAAGTTTGGGTGATTTCAGAATAATTTAGGTTTCTTAAAAAAAATAATTGTATTTAATTTGGAAATCATGTTTGTAGCAACTATAGATAGAGTAGGTGTCTTCTTGCTACTTCCCAGTTATTAGAATTGTCATCTTAAGCTTTTGATGGTGAATTTTTTGGGCTTGGTGTGTCAAAAATTCAGAAAATATTTGACTTGACTCTGTTGGTGTGTCATCCCCAAATAAAAGAGAAACAATTCTTTATATATTTGTTTATTTTTTAAAAAATACAGTCCAATCATGTGTGATCTCCAGAAAAAGAGATGTTAATAAAATGTTCATGACTGGGCAGGATGTTTATTCCTATCTTAATTAACAAAGTGGCTTGGGATGGGTTAATGTACAAACGCTTTACTTTCACTATATAATCTTCCCTTCATTGTCTGCTACTTCTCTGGTTCCCTACATTAAATGAAGCTCCCAAAAAAGATCTCATGAGAAAACCTTTTAAATAAAGGGTTTTGTTTTCCAGATCAGGAAGTATGGGGGGAAAATGTAGTAAGAACATTGCCAAAAGAATCAAGATGGTGGCGTAGGCTTTGATCTCATAGTTACAACTGCCATCTTGATTTTTTTATCCTTTTCAGAGAATGCAACTCGTGCTCCAGACACACACAGAAATATTAATAGGAAAGAGGGCATCTTTCTTTACCTCGCAAAAAAGAGCACCAAGAACAGGACACAGAGATGAATTCTAATGCTGTGTAAAAAGGAAATAAAAAAAAAGAAACCTCTTTTTGGGGGAAGAAAACTTTCAGGAATCCAGAGAGCAGGTTTTAGCATCATATTTATATTTTGCCCTTGGCTGAGATAGCCCAGCATCATCTGCAGTGATAATATGATCCACTTTATCAAAGTGCCTTCTCTCTCTCTCTCTCTCTCTCTCTCTCTCTCTCTCTCTCTCTCTCTCTCTCTCTCTCTCTCTCCTTCAGTGGTGTCTTCTGCTCCATATAGGGGAGATGCTTTACTTTGTTCCTTAGAAACTGGGAGCAATGTTGCTCTTGAAACCCCTTCAGTGTGCTTTGCTTGAAACATCACAACTTTGCTCATTTTAGCCCTGGGCAAATGCTGTGGCTAACATTGAGACAAGCAAGAATATTGGAATGTAACAGAGCACAAATAAAAAGACATTTAACATGTTGGGAAACGCAAGAGAAGTTAAACCAATGTAACTCTGAACAAAGCAGCAGTAGAAGTGGCGATGGGTGAATGATCTAAGAATGAAGATTTGTGTTTGTTTCCATCAGTCTATACGCATGAGGAGATTTGTGTTTGCCTTGGACCAACAGAGTTTTCAGATTGGCACATCTACCTGTGGTCTAACAAACTCCTTTGTACCCAAGAGGTTGATTGTACCTATGGAATTCTCAAAGGGGCTGGTCTGCCCACTAGCTAATCCATGTTAACCAACAGCTAGATAGGGCTGAGAGGATTTTCACAGGGCCAGGCCAATCTGAGATACAATTCCATGTTAGTTAGTAAATACATTGGTCTGACAAGTCATTTTGTAAAGCCGTATTTTTAATAATGAAATTTTATTAAAACTTAAAAAAAATAAAAACTAATACAAAATAATACAAATTATTTTTGTATTATAAAGTGAAGAAGAGACAAAGAAAGCAAAGAGAGAACCAAAAGGTGCAAGAAAGAAACAAAACTGAAGAAAAATGCAAAAAGAAGAAAATAAATACAAAGCAAGGTTTTCTGATATTCTTCACAGCAGTTATAAGCACAATTATACTTTAACCTCTGACTTTAAAGTTATATCACTGAAAGTCAGAATTAACTACCATATGAATGGGGTTATTCCCAGGTCATTTTGTCAGGTTAATGGACTACTTCATCTAAAGCACACTGTCTCTTCCTCTATTTCTCTACCTCATTTTTCAGAAAACCATCTGCACTGTTATTTATGTCTAATGGAAGATCTCCAAACCTAATCTTGTTTGGGGATCGTCAATTCCTAGGCAGTGTGAGAAGATTCTTAACTAAGATGTTTTGTGAAACCTTTTGATATATTCCAGTTGCGGTGGATGGTAATTGGAATTGCTGGGGTTCATGGAGTCCCTGTGATGGTTCCCATAAGAGGCGGAGGAGCCGGAGCTGTAACAACCCGTCCTCTCAAAATGGAGGGAAGCCATGTGAAGGCGAACAAGAGGAAGAGGAAGCATGCTATTTTTCCATATTTGTTGACAGGTAACTCACAGTGTTTTAGAAAAAAGCTGTAGCTCTTTCTTTGCATATGCAACATCTTGGATTCAATCTTTTGTAATTTCAGATAAATCTGAGAAAAGACTTGTATTTAATCACTGCCAGTCAGTTCTTTTGCTTCACTGGTGACAACAATTAAAAGAAGATAAAAAGAAAAGCCATCAAAAACTATCTATGAACTCAGTTCCCATTCTCATTACAAGCTCAAAGCAAAAAGCCTTGTAGCAACTCCAGAAACCTTTGATGACACTCCAAGCCAGAATAGTCAACCTATTACCCTCGATTGATCACAGGAACCCAGCATTTTTCATTATAGCCATTCTGATTAGCACTTATGGGAGTGCAGTTCATATGGAAAGTACATGTTACTTCCTCCTACTTTGAGCACTTTTGAAGAAGATGCCAAAATCTCTTGGCACATATCAATTGTAGGGGGGATTGAGAGTTTTGACCACTCTGTTCCTTTTATTGATTTATTTGTTCTTTCCTTCTCTGTTTTCTGAGACAGAACATCCAGGATTATTATGTAAAAGACTACTCTCTGTTTACTGCGAGGATCCTGTGATGTGCAGAATTTCTTGATAACCATTTAGATCCCAAAATGGGATTACCACCATGTCTCCCAGCAGAATTTACTGTTACTTTGGCTAAAGTGTCATGCAGTTCAAAACAAAGTTAAATTGTTCATGAGATCCTGTAGCTGATTTTGAAAAACCCCATATAAATACACAGAGTGCTAATTTAAGAGCAATGATTCACAGGAGTCTACAATGGTTGTCTTTTTTCTGGTTAGGAGTACTGGGACAAGTATGTGGGGGCTATATTGTAAAAGCATAAAAGGCTCAGTGGGCTGCTTTCTCAGCCTTTTGTCCACACCTTTCTCTAATTTCTCCACTCATTTCTCATTGTCATTTAGGACTATAATTTGCACTGAATCAGCAGTTAATGGTGAAGTGATGCTGGCACAGTGGGTCCCAGTATTTCCTCCACCCTCTGTTTTAGGTTAGCCTTTAATTCCACTTCCCACAACACCAAGATATCATACCTTTGAGTTTAATTGCCATAGAAATACTCAGCCATAACATTCCAGGCAGAATCAAGGGATTCTTCCTATATTGGAGACCCAGCTATGCATGCCATACAGACAACTCAGTGCTCCCTAAACCATCCCACTGCCTTAAAATGCAATACAATACTGTGTCCAAATGCCACTGCTGAAGCTAAACTGGGTGTAGAATGGAGGCCACCCTGCCTCTGGCTGCAGGCAAGGCCTGGTATGGTTACTTATGGTACTGGTCTCAAGAGTTTTCATATCACCAGTTATCCAGTCTCTTCAAGTAGAAATCCTATAACTAAACATGGTTCTTCACATGTTTCCAGCATAAAATATGATTTTCCCCTCTCCTCCAGAATCTGAAAAGATGGCTGTCTAGTGATTTCCCATTCCATGGTTCTTTTCTTTTAGAGGAGCTATATGTGTAAATGATGACGAAGCGACAAGGGAGGGGGACATTGCAGTTGAGAGGCCTGAATCAGGATGCCTCAAACCAGATCCACCAGAACATGGATTTATCAGGGTAGGTGTTTTAGAACTTCTCAGCCAGCAACATCTGTGATAGGTGAATGTGTTAAAGTCAGCAAGATGGCAGATGGAGCATTGTGATGCAAATTCATCCCTTTTGAGCATGCATGCAATGTCAATACACCTACAGAAAGGCAGAAAGGACAGGTTATGCAACATGAGCCTCCATCCACCATGTTGCTGATTTTGACTCTTCACCTCCCCCCCCCCCCATGAACATCCCTGTTCTCAGTTGTTGTTTTTTTTCTTATCCTTCTTGGATACAGATACGTATTTTAAAAAAGCAAAGGATTAAGCAAATGTGCTAGCAAGGGATTAAGTCTTAAACACATCCTCTGGAAGAACTGGTATGCAATCTGGGGTTCTTCCTGGACTCATGAAAAGAATCATGTCAAGGTCATCACAAAATAGTGTGATATTGAGGAGTACCTTTCCATAAATACATCCAACACTATTCCTAGATCAGGAAGAACTGTTCATCATCATAGATGCATTAGTAATTTCCCAATAGAATTATTGCAATACATTATATATGGGCTGCCTGTGAAGACCATTTGATTTTGTTTACCACCCAAAGTTCCACTGGCTAGATAGGAGTTCATATAAATTTGTTAAATGAATGAAATGAATTCCTAAATAGAACTATTGTGTTTAAGCTGGTATATCTTTCACAGCCAGGCATTTGATATAAATGGACTTGCTGGAGTCTTTGGCAGCTACAATGCTATAATTCACAGCCATTTGTGCTGTTTTAAGAAAATGTACAAGATAATATTAAGATTCATTGTAACTTAAGTAATAATTTATTAAGAAACTAAGGTCAGGGAGACCCTATTTCAAATCCAAATTCAGTCACAAAACTCATTGGGCTAGCCTTAGTCCAGCTATTCATTCATGTAGCCTTACTGAATTTGTGAGTTGTTGTGGAGATCAAACAATGAAAAAAAAAACCCTATGGATTTTTATAATTCTGAGAGAACTTCTGCTAATGGGTACAATAAAGTTTGCCTAAATAATTCTGAATGGATGAACTCCTCAAACAAAGTTGCATGAAAAACTTGGATTTGAAGGATAATAAGGTGCTGTTTTTATTCCATAACAAGTATATGAAGAATTTCCTCTGGTTAATTTCAGAACGAGAAGAACCTTTATAACGTTGGGGAAAATGCTGAAGTTGTGTGCTTCAATGGATACACTCTTACTGGATATCCATTCTTTAGCTGCCAGCCAGATCAAACTTGGTTGCAACGTTCTGTCGAATGCCAATGTAAGAATCATTAAGAGACTTGAGACTTAAACTACTAATCTGAGAAAATTAAATAAGAAGAGGATACAGTATATCAGTCCCATAATCACTTGCAAAGTGCTGAAGCTCAGCTGAGTACAGAAAGTCCAGATTTTGGAGAACTTGGCTACTCTTGAATTAGAAATGTGGAAAGGGATGGGGAAAGTTGTCTTGAAATCTTGGCACATCATTGGTATTAATTTTCAACAGTATTGTCATAGATAGATCAGTGTTTGACTTAGTATGACCATTGGAAGGGGCTATAATTCAAACATCTGTTTTGTATGCAAGTTTAGTCCTGCATGTCGAGAAGGACTATAGTTTTATTCCATGAGAGTTGTCACCAGTCATTGTCAATTATTAAGGATAAGTGGACTAACGTATTGACTTTGGTACGCAGCTTCTTATGTTCCTAATTTTATGAACAGAACTTTTATTCCTAAGAGAGCCAAGTATTCAAAGAATGTTATGTTAAATGAGATGTTGCAAACAGTATATCCCTCCTTGAGATATTTAAGGCTTGTTACATCTGCTTCAGTGGCTTTCCTTGGTCATTTCTGCATATAAGTAAGCAGGCCACATTGTTTCTTTTGGAAATCCTAGCAGAAATGTTATCTCTGTAGGCACATGGATATGATGATGAACTGAGAGCTGCAATGAGCAACCTTTGAGAGAACATGGTCGCCTCCACATTTCTGCTTTAAGGAAAGGCCTGATTGCCTTCTTGCATTACCTGAATTCCTGATAGGGAAGGCAGGGGTATACTTTTTCAATAGCTCAATCCAGTGTTTCTCAACCTTGGCAATTTTAAGATATGTGGACTTCAACTTCCAGAATTTCCCAGCTAATCATGCTAGCTGAGAAATTCTGGGAGGTGAAGTCCACAGATCTTCGGGTTCCTAAGGTTGAAAAAAACTAACTTAATCCAAAACTAGCCAACCAGTTCATAGTCCAGGCCTTGTGATTAGTTCAGGGTTCAATTCAAACTCAGAAAACTAGTTTAACTGGGTAATCTCAATTAAACTAACAATAAGTAGATGTACTATGTGAATATAACCAGCGAATTAATGTTTCAGTTTTCAAACTGGATTTTTAAATTGTTAATTGTTTACATTCTTTTGATATAAAGCCTTTACAAAACATTTGAATTTTATGTTTAATTTGCAGTTCTTCTCTCATAACATGTTAATCTCATTTACCTCCCTCCATTCCTTCTTTTTTCAGTATCTGCATGTCGCAGACCAGCAGCCTCAGATGTTGTCTCCATTTTACCCTTTAAAAATGAATATAACATTGGGGAAACAATCCGCCTAAGTTGTGCACCAACCTTTAGGTTAACTGGCCAATCAGAATACACTTGTATAAGTGGCCCATCCTGGCGTCCTGCTGTAGTGAGACTGCTTACCTGTGAGAAAGGTAAGTGAATAGTTCATGTAGCATGGAGATTCACCTGCTCAATAACGGGGTTTGGAGCAATGGGTTCAAATCCTCACTCAGCCATGCCACTCAGTCTGATCTTCCTTTCAGGACTGTTGAATGAGCATATCATAAAGGGTGGGTGGGTGATGTTACATATGAATGCCTTGAAGGAAAAATGGGATTAAGAGAAATAAAATGATGAAACTGGGTGTTCTCAAATAAAACAAAATGAAGAAGCACCAAAGTCTAGGAGGGCTTTATTGTTAATAGCTATATTATACAAAGTATAATATATATCCACATCCAACATGGAGATACAGCCAAGGTGTTTTCTTGTCAACAGTACAAAACAGTCTTATTCCAGGCTTTTTATTCCCCCCCCCCAAATCTAGCCTATGTCCCTGGCATGTCTGGGTAATCTACCACAAAAATATGAATCAGCTCCAACCTTACTTGATTTTCAAGATGACCAAAATCACTTCAGTGATACCATTTGTTGTGATTTATTTTTACTGTTAGATTCATACATATCTGCATGGTCAGGAAAGCAACAAATCTGAACTCTCAGAATTGTGTGTACAATCCATTCTCTCCAAAAAATGATAAGCCATGTCCCTCAGAACTTCTCCCCCAATTGCTGACACTATGTAATATTTTGCTTGACAAGAGGAGAAAATTATTAAATATACAGGAACTATCCGGAGTGAATGAAATGAAACACTTTGTGTTCATTAAGAAAATTGATATGAAATATTTAAAATTGAATTGACAGTATCAAGGGAATTAGGAGAAAAATATACAAAGAATGTGGGAATATTACAAACAGAATGTCAAGGTTCCGACTGATGTTGAACCCAAAGAAGTAAGCATAACTGAGACGATGTAATTTCTAATGCAACATTTTATTGAGCACATCATTTCAGCACAGATGAAAGGAAAGCCAGCTCTGGTTATTTTGTGCCTAAATTGCTATATTAAAATAGAGAAACCTCCCTCCCCTTATTAGTGCAGGTGACATTATCCAATTATAAGTCAGAGAATTATTATGAGAGAATGTCTTTAGTTCTGAGTAAAAAAAATATTGAGTGACCTTGGTTTTCACATCTGGCAGTCGATGTCTGAAGACTGCATTCCATTCTTCTTTTCTCTTCCTCCCCTGAGTCTGTAGGTAAGAAGCAATAACGGCTGACACAGCATAGGCATTTTTCAAGACTTGACACAGAGAATGTTAGGATGCTTGCTCAGGCTGTTCATGCATGACAAAAGAGAATAAAGTTAGCAATCCACATAGTGTATACTTTAAAATAATAGCATAAAATACAAGGAACTGTTGATAGATAAAGTAATGCAATTATACAAAAGAGATTTGAGAGGAATAAACTTCTCTGTGAAACCTGAAAAGATAGAATATAATAGCTGATGTGGTAGGTATACACCAAAACATAAATACCTTTAAGAAGTTAAAAAAGTAACCAGCACTTAATAAGCCTGAGACATTTCTGGCTATCTATGCTCAGGAAGGCTCAGATGCCCTTTATTATCTTGATTTTACATCCCACCATGCAAAACTTGGTCACCTTATTTCAGCGCTGAGACTGGAAAGGCGAAATTGCTTGTATTGATTGGTGAATCCTGCTTTACTGGTCAGAAATGGGGTGATTAGAGCATTTTGGGGTTCTGCATAAAGGTGTCGGTACAGAAGAACTTTCAATTCCAGAACAATTGTATCTAGCAAATTTAATCGGAATTCAGTTGTTTATTTTAAATCATGCTTCATTTTTGCTCTGTCCACATCTACTTTGGGGAATGGGACCCATGGATGCTATTCAAAACTAAATATGAGCTTTGGCTCCAAACAATTGTACATTGTAGTTTAATATCAATCCTGAAAATTTCTATCTATCAAGCTTTTATATAGTATATCTAATAGTATTCCTATGTATTTATGCTTCATTTTTTGGCATCCCTTATCCTCTTGCAGATGATTATTTAAGTTCTCAAAGCAACTGCAAACCAGGAGAGAAGCAAGTTGACTCCCAATGTGTGTGTATGAATCCCAGAGAAGACTGCAGGTAAATTATACAGATAAAAGGTTTCACCATGCTACATGTTGAGATTTGTATCACCTTAAGGAAAAATGCTTACTTCAACTTGTATCCAACCCCTCAAGTTTTTCTTAATGGATCTTAATTAAGAGGAAGCTCTTTCCTACAGAGAACTTTAACATTGTATAAAACTATCCATTTGCATACTGGTGTAGGCTTCCACAGCCAGTATCTTTTGAACTGTGTTGGGCTTCAGAGTTTTGTGACCATTATCTAGACCAGGGCTTTTCAACCAGTGGTACGAGTACCACCTGTGGTACATTAGCACCTGGCAGGTGGTACACGACCATCCTAGAAAAGTGGTAGCAGGGGAGGGGAATGAGCTGAACTGGTGGCAGCACACACAAGCCTGAGTGAGAGATGGCTGGAGCTGCAGGGCTGTCAGGGCTCAGCGGAAGCACTAGGATCAGTGCCACTTTCCAACTGATTGGCACTTCTTTGGGACTGTCAGGGCTCAGTGGAAGCACCAGGATCAGCGCCAGGTTCCAGCTGGAGCTCGGCGCTGATCCTGGTGCTTCTGCTGAGCCCTGAAGAAGCGCCGATCAGCTGGTATGTTGCAGCTCCAGGGTCTTGTGATTTACATTCAGATGCTTGGCAACTGATTCATATTTATGACGGTCACAGTGTCCCAGGGTCATGTGAAGTGACCAAACCCTGCTTCAACTACCCAGCAGATGGGGGAAATAAAAACCAAACACCCCACCACCACACCCCCGCTGCCAATCCTCAACAGAAATGCTCACAACAATAAAAACCTCGGACAGGAGGAAGAGCGCCGCCGGGTGGGCAGGCAGGTGTCTTGCTCAGCTGTGGCTTGGGGGGCACTTTTTTCAGTGCCATTTTAACTTCAAACAGTCACTAAGTGAACTGTTTTAAGTTGAGGACTACCTATACTTTATCACTTTTTTCTGGGATTTTTCTTTTTTGGTCATCAAGTTTTTGACACCTTGCTAGGTAGTTGGTGGTACTCGGATATTGCCATCTCCAAAAAGTGGTACAATGGGTGAAAAGGTTGAAAAGCCCTGATCTAGACAACATATTTCCTGACATTTCACCAACAACTGTGATTGACATCTTCAGAAGTTCATTGGGCTCCTGTCTTTATAGCCAAGTATTCTGATTTGTGATTGGTCAATAATATATTGCTCAGTATCTTTGTGTCTGAAGATGCCAGCCACAGTTGCCATGGAAACCTCAGGAAATCTGTTCACTAGACCATGGTGTAAAAAGAAAATTCTTCATCAGGGTCCAGTCCAAGCTGGGAATAAACAAAATGGAGACTGCTTTAGAAAGAATGTTCTTGTTTATTTAGTTGACATAAACTAAAGCAGCATGTTTCTGGGTGATTGAATCACATGGAGCTGGGTGTGGTGGGTTTTTATACCTTCTTGGGCTTTTGTGTTTGGAGTTGTTCCTGTTCCTGTGGCATGAACTTTGACCTGAGGTTCAGTGTGCCCTTCTGATATTCTGATGGTGGTGGGTTAATCCTATCATGTCCTAAAGGTCATATCTTTCTTCCCTGCGGTTGTGGTTGATGGCTATGTCCTTTGTTGGATTTTTTTTGGTTGAGGGGTTGTTGGTTCTAGGGATCTTTGTCTTTCTAATCCCATCAGCTCCAAGCTTCCTGGCTCCAGTCTTTCTGAAAGGATTATCAAATCTGCATTTCTACAGAGCTGGTTTCTGCTCGGGGCAGAGAGACTGGGGATGGGGGGTTCTGCCTAAGATTTTCTATTATTCCTTTGGGGAAATATATCTGCTTTTTAAAAATATCTCCCAAAATATTTCTTTCTCTGGGGGAGTGTTGTCTTCCTACAATGGTCACTAAATTCTTCAGCCCTACCCTGCCCATTATCTACTTGTGTCTGTCCTTTGCTTAGGAAGATTCCACACTCCCCACTGGATTCACATGGGCAGATGTTTTGTGTATTCCCTTTGATGGGGGTTGATCAATTTTTCCCCGTGTGGTATGTTCTCAAGCTTCCTCTGTCTCCTCCAAGCTCTCTCATCTCATGAAATGCCATAATCACATCTCCTCCACCCTCCTGAGAACTTGCATATTGTTATACAACATCCTGCAAAATGTCAACATGGCCTGATATTTGGTGATACGGCTAGGATTGGAATGTGTAAGTAAAATAAAGAAAGAGATTGGAGTTCACTTGTGAATATGTTGTTGCTAACCTATTTTATACCTTTTGTTTTACCACCTTTTAAAAAAATTCTTCTCTAAACAGAATTTGGAAAATTCTGTTAATGTCCATCTGATATGAATAGTGATAATCACTCCAGATATTTTTTTAAAAAAATAACTTGGCTAACCAGCTCCAGCTAACTTCCCAAACAGATGTACCAAATGTTATAAACAATAATGAAAAATGCTTCTTTATTAATTGTTTGCTTCATCCCTCTCTTCACCAATAATCATGGGATTGCTTTTGTTTACTTTGGCTTTGTGTTTTGGTCATTTGGCAGACACTATTCTGAAGATATCTGTGTACTGGATGCCACTTCTGAACAAGCACTTACAAAGCCCAGCTGTCCATATTTGGCTGAAAAATGCTTGGATCAGCAGTCATTCCATTTCTTGCATTCTGGCCCCTGCCGGACTGGGACCGATGTGAGTTGGGCTAAGGAAAGGCTCAGAATTGCTACGGACAGCATAAATAGAGAAGCTTGTGGCTATGACACATGTTATGATTGGGAGCAGTGCTCAGGTACGCAACTATGCATGGATGCACTAACTTGTTATTGTTCCTGGACCATGTTTATGAAGTCAGATTAGAGGCACCAATTTAGGTCTCAAAATAATTTCATTAAGTGATCTGATTTGATCTGGCATGATTTAGAGATGGCCAGATTCAATCTGCGGTCAGATCCTGATTGAAATTCAAAGTTTGATCCTCCCATTTACTGTGGTGAAATCAAAATCTTCTAGCATTTCCCAGTTACAAACAAGGTTAGAGCCACAATTTAACAAGATAAATGAGCAAACGCAATAAACACAATGCAATATTCTGTCAGGATATTGAACAAAGGGATCACAGTTTAAAAGAGAACACAATATTTTACCAAAAGGAGTGGCAAGTTAGGGCAAAGTCTGGTTTGAAAGGGTAAGAAATTTGGAAGAGACCCAAAGGAGAAATGATTCCTCCTCCTTCATTCTGTCTCTCCATTGTGATATTTTCCCCACTCCCAATATTACTCCTGGATCAGCATTGGATTCTTACACCATTGTCCAGATTTGGTAGCTAAACCAACTGATTTCAGGCTTAGCCACAAAGCAGAGCAAACTTTGCGAACTAAATATTCCAGTTTACCTTTTGAGACCAAAGTGCTTGGAGACAAGTGGGTTTTTTTTTTTCTCATTGGCAGGGAAATATCTTTAAGAAACAATGTGTATAACACTTTAGATTCCTTTCTCCTCAAAGAATTTTACCCTAACCCTGAATGGGAAATGGAACAAAACTACAAATTGAGATGGGGGGAAAAACCCATATTAATAAGAATTTGTGCAAGAAACCTCAACTTGAGACTTTGGATATACTGAAAAATGCACTGTCCTTGCAAGGAAGAAGAAAGGTTAATGACCCAGCAGGCAGGGTTATAGACTATGAATAACTTTCATTTCTAACATTCCCAAGTAGCAGACATAATGTTCTGCAGATCAGACCATAAGGTTTTCAGGCTCGTCTGCAGCCAAAACGAGATCATTTTTCTAATTCTTACAAGCATCCTTGGAAATCCCCTTTCTTTCTTTCCCACAAAACAATCATTCTGTACAAACTGCTACAACTGAAGAACTTAATAAGATTTTTTGGGGTGTGTGTGTGTGTTAGACTTTGATTAAAAAAGAGGTTATAGTTTGTACCTATGTGCATATTAAAAACAAAGTTCCTGTGGAATTATAGGGTTGAATGTTATTCTGCAAAAAGAGAAAAAAGAGCTATGTTTTTCAAGAGTGATTATGAAATGTTTGTTGGCCAGCATGTAAGGTAGTAAGCTCCTGCCAGAAAAAAGGTGAGATGATGGCTCTATGTCAACAGAGACCTGGAGGGGATTTTATTGGTAAGAGAATTGCTTCCCTTAATCAATTATTATAGAACTGGTAGGGACCTTGGAGGTCTTCTAATCCAACCCCCTGTTCAAGCAGGAGACACCATACCATTTCAGACAAGTGACTGTCCAATCTCTTCTTAAAACCTCCACTGATGGAGCACCCCCAACTTCTGGAGGCAAGCTGTTCCACTGTTAGGAAGTTTCTCCTTATTTCCAGGTTGCTTTTCCGCTTGATTAGTTTCCATCCATCATTTCTTGTCCTGCTCAATGGTTCTTTGGAAAATAATTGACCTCCTCTTCTTTCTGGCAGCCCCTCAAATACTAGAATATTGCTATCATGTCACCCTTAGTCCTTCTTTTCTCTAGACTAGCCATAAACAATTCCTGCAACCGTTTTTCATATGTTTTAGTCTCTAGGACTTTAATCATCTTAGTTGCTCTTATTAAAGACCTGGAAACTAAAATATATGAAGAACGGTTTTGGAATTGGTTTAAAATTCCTTACAAGCCAGTATTCTACATATTTGTTTCTGAGATGCTGAACTGTCTATGGAGATTCTCAGTCATCCAGGTCATAGTTGTCCCAAAGTTGCTTTTTTCATGAGCATCTTTGGGAGATACTGAACTGAGAACAGTAGCTTCATCACCATCAGAGTAGGAGACTTTTTTTTAGACAGCCAATTCAGAGCCAGGTCTACAACATTTGCTGCCTGGGGCAAGAAAAATGCTCCCACAAAGTTAACCCATTTAGGTGGAATTTTAGTTCAGGCCTTGTGGTGTGGGTGGCATCCTTTGCCAGACCAAAGAGAAAAGCACAGGGATCTGGGGAGGCAGAGCAAACACTGCTTGGTATCTCAGATGTAGTGTGTAGGGCAGGGGTTCTCAACCTTGGCAACTTTAAGACTTGTAGACTTCAACTCCCAGAATTCCTCAGCCAGCAAAGCTTGAATATTGAGAACCCCTGGTGTAGGGAGATTCTCAGTCATCCAGATCATGGTTGTCCCAAAGGTGCTTTTTCACGAGGCAATTGGACTCATTGAGTAAACTAATCCAGTCCAGTTGCCTCATGAAAAAAACACCTTTTGGGCTCAGATGTAGTGGGCATTTTCTACTTGGTCTTTTCAATCAATAAAGGGGGAGGGAGTCTTCCTCATAGTATAACCCCTGAAATCCCTGTAAAGACAGTAAGATTCTCCCCACCTCTCCCAATTAGCAAAAGAGAAGGATCATAGAAGAATTACTACAACTGTCCATCCCTGAACATCCACTGCCTGGCTATTTCCCGTTATTGAGTGGTCTACCTTCTCAGATCTAGAGAAGAGGAAACCTTTCCTTGTTTTCTACAGCCTTATGATTGCTAGTTAAAGGTGGGAGTCAGAGAATGAAATGATTAAATCTAGCCTAAAATTTTGATATGACCTCCAGCAGCATGTACTACTTGTATGTATAAGTAGTCCTCAATTTACAACCACAATTGGGACCAGAATCTCTGTTACTAAACAAGGCAGTTATTAAGTAGAATCACACCTGATTTCATGACCTTTTTTGCCATAGTTGGTTAGATAATCAATGCAGTTGTTAAGTGAATTGTATGGTGATTAAGTGAATTGGTTTCCCTCATTGACTTTGTTTGTTAGAAGCTGGCTAGAAAGGCTGCAAATGGCAGTCACATGACCCCCCCCAATATTAAACAGACCAGTATTGCATTGATGGTTTGATACATCTCTGAATATCATTTGACTAGAACTAAAAGCCTTTTTTTTTTCTTACAGAGCCGCTTGCTAAATGTGTCTGCTTGCTGCCTAACCAATGCCCGCGTGGTGGGGACCCCATTTCCTGCATCCAAATAAGGACAAGAAAGATGACAGCAAACCTCTGCATGCTGGGAGCATTGAAGTGCTCCAATACAGACATTGTAATTTTACATGAAGGGAGCTGTCCAAACTAACAGATACCAGTTTCCCACTCATGGACTAGCCACAGCACAAATGTTTTTTTTTTGTTTGTTTGTTTTGTGCTCTGGCCTTTAATTATAAAGATTATCATTAACATTGCTTTAATTCCAGCATCCAAGTTTCTCATTCCAGCCTTTCTTATTCATGTCATCAACACATATCTTGAGGTTCATGACAATTCCACTTTTCTCCAACTGAATAACTGAGCATGGATCAAGTGCACTGCATACAAAAAGTTGGCAGAGCTTTGATTCCACTTTTCACAGCCACCTTCTGGGCTCCTTTCTTTTGATGGAATTCAGTTCCCAATTGCAAATGTCAGGAGTAAGTGTCCAGTGTCCATTCCAATAGTATGAGCTCTCTAAGCTGGACCATAAATAGCAGCTGTCCCTTCAATATGGCCGCTGCTTCTTCTGTCATTCTGACAAGCATTTTTGCACTGTTTTATGTTGCTCTTTTGAAGCAGTAGGCGTGAACTTAAATGGACTCCAGAAGATGGTAGAGGACGGGAAGACCTGAAGGAATATTGGCCATGGGGTCGTGATGGGTCGGACACGACTTCGCAATTAACAACAACAACAATGTTACTCTTTAAAGCTCCTCCTTGCCAGATATTCCAATGCACTAAAAAAAAAAGCAACAGACAATTCTCTGCTTCCTTCTTGGTTTTGCCTTCACCTCACTATTCTGTGGCCAGAAAGCCAAGCAGATCAAAAACAAACAGTTCACTTAGACCAGCTACAGTGTGATAGTGGCATCTGGATGTCATCTGCATTCCAAAATAAGATCAATACTTTCAATCTACCATTTTCATTTAAAAAAAAATATCTGAAAGCAGAGGTAGGAAGACCTTGACAAGCCAAGAACCACTGACATAAAATAGTTTTTTCCTAACTAAGTTCCCTCCAGATGCATTGAAAAAGCAAGTCCCAGAATTCCTTAACAACCCCAAAATCAGTACAGATAATATTAGCATAGGTAGCCCAATGCTGTGGCTGCTAATTTCTTGATACTTCTCAATTGAACACTATTAAGTTGCTAACTAGAATTATTGGTAGTTGTAGTACTGATGTATTTGAAAACTACAAGCTTTGTCTGGCCTGAATTATCCTAATGTCTAATTTGAGGGAACTCCTTAAATATCATGTTGGGAAATAATATTTTAATGAGACACAAATCTCTGAAATTCACTGAGCTCAGTGAAATTTATTCTCTGCTTACACAATTGCAACCAAAATCTGTTTTCAAAAAAGATTATAACTGAGTTGTTACTTAACTCTTATGCAATGCACAGGACAATCCATAGACTTTATTCTGAACAAAAAGATTATTCTATCTATAATAATTGCTCAGCATTAATGCACTGTAACCTTGGAACTGGCTTGGCTTAGGTTTTCCAACTTTCTATTCTGTTAACACTTAACTAATACAAATAAATGGCTGCTGCAAACAGCCAACCAGTTTTCTTGTTTTTATGACTCATCTCTTTAAAATAATCATTGGTATTTATTAAGAGTGCAGATTTTATTGGAATGTAAGTGATCTATGCCCTCAGTACTATTTCCATTGCTATATTATTAGCTAAGCTTCCCGTGAATATTTTAATCCAATAGGGTAAGTCTCAATTCTTTTACAATGATTTATTATTATATGGGGCTATTTTGTGCAGTACTGTATTACTAAAACATTTTTTTAAATAATTGCTTTCCTGGATCAGCCCATCTTTTTGTCTCTAGGTATGTAGCAATCTAATAGCGACCTTTGATGTATTTCTAGGGTGCTTCTAAGTGTGGTGTAATCCTAATTTTTTTTTGTTGTTTTTAATTCCAGCATTTGAATTGCTGGCTCTTAAAGGAACAGATTCTATTTAACTGTCATTTACTGTGCAGATAATCCTTGCTCAACAACCCTAACTAAGACCAGCAACTCTCAGGTGTTGTTAAGTGAAATATCACCTGATTGCCATGCTTAGAGAATCACCTTCTGTTATTTAGCAAATCATTACGTTCTGTGATTTCCAATCTCCTGCTGGCTGCTCCATGGATTTTGCTTGTCAGAAACTATCTGGAAAGGTTGCAAATGAAGATTAGATGATTGTAAATGCAAGATAGTTCCCAAGTGCTTGAATTATGATCATGTTACTGCAGGAATGTTGCAATGGTACTGACTGCGAGGACTGGTTGTAAGTCACCTTTTGCAGCACCATTGTAGCTCTGACTAGTCACTAAATGAATGGTTGGTAAATAAGGATTCCCTGTAATAGTAAACTTTGGTAGTGAGTGTCAGTAGAAAAGAAAAGAGCATGATATTAGCATGCCTGAAAAAAATCCCTGAAATATACAAATATATGTCTGTGGATAATGTGTATGTACATATTTTTTGTCCCATCAAAAGAAGTGACACTTAGTGGTGGTGAATGAAATGGTTGCAATCTACAAAAGGAGCACTTTTGTTTCAAAAATCAGGATGCAACAATTCATTGCAGATTTTATTAGTAATGGCTATAATTCAGTGTAACAATTATGCCTTTTAAAATTATGGCTCTGGAGCTCCCATGAATGGAGCCATACTTTTAATTTCAGCTGTCATGCCTCCAGCATATAATTTGTGTATTTTTATTGCTGCTGTTGTTCTTCAAAGTGTTTTGAACTCCATTTGGTGCTCAAACACAAATCTTTCATTTCTTAAAGCATTGGTTTTGGTAGCATTTTGATCCTACTGAGTATCCATATTCTTTAAGAAGCTAAACTCCACTTTGTAATGTTTTGAGGTAACAAACATCTAGAAGAATTCACCTTAGTCTGTGACACATACTCTTCTGAAGACAAAATCTATATCCCATACACAGCATTGATGTTTTACCTCATCCTGTTTTTAAATAAAGTATCAAGATTTACATTTATGGCTTTGACTTATTGAAGGATAGGAGGGTTTATATGCATGTTGAGCTACACACAGGGTAATGTGTATTGAGGACAGAACATCAGCTATAAATGTATTCTATAAAACGTGTACATTCTAGTACAATTAACTAATCTAGTTATTCATGGAATGGTAGAAGTGGATGCTTTCTAAAGTATTTATGCAGCTGAGTAAACACAAGCTTTTTATTTTTAAAAATTATATAAACATAGGTATTTCTCAATAAGAGCACATATTTCACCTCCATTTACCATCCTGTCATATCATTTAAGACAAATATTGACAGACTGGAATATGTCCAGAGGAGGGCTAGCAGAATGAAAGCTGGAATCAAGCCCTACAAGAAATGATTGAAAGTTTTGGATATATAGTATTCAATCTGGGCATGAAATCATGAACAGATAAGAGGATTGTTATGTTCCAGTATTTGAAAGCTATCACATAGTAGATAAGACACTATTGTTTTTCAATTGTGCCAGGAAGCAAAATTAAAGCATAAAAAACGCAGAGATGCAACAAAACATTAGGAGAAACATTGAAACAACTTGGAAGTCTCAGACAGTAGCAGGATCTTCTTTATCAGAGATATTTAAGAATAACCAGTCAGCTGCTGAATGGTCATCTGCGGTCATTTGCTGCACTCAGAAAGGTCCTGGGGATCCCAATTTCCTTCCAAATACATTGAAACTACCACTTTATGATTCTATGATTGGTCACTGAATGCCGTGTTTTACTTCTGTATTTAAATATTATCCCATATCTTTCAGTATCTTTTGCAACATTATTCTCTGTCCCATTTACACATTAACTGGGGCATTTTGCCATGTTTGGGATGCCCAGCTGTAGACTGGATATTGGGAAATACGGGTGTCAAGGTTTACCCAGTTGCAATAAAGGCTTCATTTATTTTTTTTACCATTCTGTGCGTAATTGGATGGTCTGATTGTTTTATCTAAACAGCTCAGTTTATTTTTGTGAGAACAGGTAAATGCAATTTTACAATGGCATGAGCTTGGGAATATTGTGGAATCTTCTTTTCTAGTTATTTTCCAGAGGAGGCTGGGCCAGTTTCTGTCTGAGGTGCTTCAAAGCTAGTTCTCACACCCAAAATGTGTCCTTATGGTAGCAGTATAAAAGGTGGCTGGCATGTATGTACAATCTGCCACAGATGCAGTCTTGTCTGTTGACCCATTGGTGGGAGACTTTAAGAAAGTTGGGATGGAACTGAACACAAAGATAATGTATGCAGCTCTGGATTATGTGATCCTGTCAGGTTGAGAGAGGCTTAATATAATCAAAGTTAGGACTTTGAGCCACATCTTGTACTCATGAATTTAATTTTGATTCCAGGTATGATTTATAACCAACAACTCAGGGATGTTTGCAGGGAGAAAAAGTCAAGATGGCAATTACAAAAGCACACATAAAAACTGGGTACAGCTTTGACTGCACTATTGCAGGTGTCATTTTGACCTTATCATTACATGGACACTTCTGTGGGATTTACAATTAAACGTTGCTCTGTGAAATCTTCTCTTTCAGGTTTAAACAATGACTATGAGACATTCTTGACTATGGGATAAGAACTTTTTGCTATTTACATCTCTTTCCACAGTGCCCTTTCCCTGCTATTTTACTTTCATTTCTCATTCAGGCATCCATTCTGTTAGTTGTATTTTTTATTAGACTTTTATCTCACCTTTATTACTTTTATAAGTCCCTCAAAGAAGAGAATGTACTTAATATTCCTCCCTCTCCTATTTTTCCACAACAAAATGCTGTAAGGTGAGTTGGGTTGAGAGAAAATGACTGGCCCAAAGTCACTTGACTAACTTTTTTGGTTAAGGCACAAGTAGAACTGCAGTCTCCTGATTTCTAGATCAGTACCTTAAACAGTAGACCAAACTGGATTCTTTGAGATAGTGAAAATGACATGATCTATCCAAAATCAGAAAGATAAGATTATTCATTTGTGCAGTTTAAGATGCATCAACTTTTGGAATTGTCCAGTCAGCCATGCTGGTTGCAGAATTCTGGGAGTTGAAATCCACATGTCTTAAAGCTGCCAAGGTTGGGAGATTAGATATTCTGTAAGTGATTTTCCAGTCATGCAATAAAAATATCATTTTAATAAATTGTTCCCTTACTGCAGTTAACTTCACCCTCTCCTGTTTCATTTGCTCTTTAATAGTTTTTACTATTTTTCATGATTATTTTTATATGTGCTTATTGTTTTTCTTTTTAATTAAGTGTTGACTGCTGCCCAGAGTCACTCTTTTTTAGATGACGGCCATACAAATATGATAATTAATAATAAACATAGTATTATTATAGAAATGAAGTCCAGATCTTTTATGGTATAAAATTATTTCCAAAATCCATAATGTGAAACGTAATTGGTCTGGGATCTATATTTGTTGTTGTAAACTATTATCATGTAATACATCATATATTTCTAAGTAGCCATCCTTTGTAGTTTGATATTTTTTAGCCATGGAGAGAAACATCTTCATATGTGTTATCCTTCTGAGCTTTGTAGTTGAAAAAGGGTTTGGATGTTTCTGCGATCATTATCCATGGAGTCCTTGGTCCAGATGTTCAAAAACGTGCAATTTTGGGACACAAAGCCGAACCAGGTTGGTACAAGAATAAGAAGATTTCTTTTCCCTGTAAGAGGAACTATAAGTTCCACTTCATTAAGAAGATACTTAAACATGTATTCTAAGGATATTATAGACAAGCATATAAATGTTTTAGTTTTCAATGATAGTGAAGGGAAGAGGGAGGAAGTGTTGGAAGGTATTGAAAAGTGTTCCAATATCTAAGGGGCAAAGGGGGAGTGTGTGTCAAACTTTTCTCTAAAGCACCTAAAGGAGGACAAGAAGCAATGGATGGAAATTAATCAAGAGAACCAATCTAGAAATAAGGAAAAAATTCCTAACAGAACAGGAAATTAAAGGTTGCCTCTAGAAGTTGTGGCTACTCCATCAGTGGAAGCTTTTCCCTGTAGAGATTGGACAGTCATTTGTCTGAGACAGGTGGCACACAGAGCCCTCTCTGGGCACACGCACCATCATCCCAGTCCTAGGCCTTCAGCTGGGTTTTATAAAACCTTTTCACTTTGGGCCTTCGCCACTGTGTGCAAAAAAAAAAAAAAAAGGTTCAATCAATCAATCAATTTCAACTTCTCAGGAAAAAAAAAAGATCTCGCAAAGTTGGAATTGATTGATTGAACTTTTTAGTCCCACCCAGTCTGCTGTTACCACTGCAGCCACACCCACCCAATAGGCCATGCCCATCCAATTGGCCACACCTACCCAATGGGACACGCCCACCCAGCACCCAACGATACATAAGTGGGTTTTGGGCTGCAGTTTGGGCACTCGGTCTTTAAAAGGTTCGCAACCACTGGTATAGGGTCTTGGTTTGAGATCTTCAAAACTCACTTTTGTGCCTCTCTTCCTCTTGAGAGAGCAGTAGGAATGGAAAGCATGAAGCTCTTTATGTGATAAGATTCCTCTCTGGTTTGGGATCCGTCCTCACAAAAATGAGCTTTATACGTAATATGTGGCTATTTGCCATGCCTGCCAAATCCGTAGCTAACCTTTGTGATGCTTGCTAAATGCATAAATAATAGAATGACCAGATGGAGTATATGTCTGCAGCATAGAGAAAAGTAGCCCATAGGAATACAGGTGTATCTCCCCATCCTCATCTTCTTGGCATAAGTTTCAGGATAAATGTACAATATCTTCATTTTGCAGGGCAAAAGTCCAAAATGATTATTATTATAAGAATTTTTGTGAACAACTGTGCCAATGGGCTGAATCTCGGCCTTGTAGCCAGCAAGCATGTCCCATCAACTGCCAACTCGGTGACTGGGAAGAGTGGTCAGAATGTGACCCATGTGTTAAAAAACAGGTAATTTGACCATGATATATGAGAAACAATGCAGTTGCCTCTATTTTCACATGCATGATGCAGAAAATGTTTCAGGCATTCTGAAATATGGATGCAGAGGGACAATATTTTTTTAAAAAAGAAAAGGTACATGGAACCCCAAGTACTAGTTCTATTTCCTGCATCAAGTACCAGGTTCTAGCTTTGCATGACCCGCTAACAAAAATAAAGTGTCTCTGCAGCTGAAATTTTAGATGAGGTATGGAACTGTGAAACCTACATTAAGAAAATTTGTTTTATTTTTTCCCCATACATGGATTTCGCCTTTTAGTTCCGCATTAGGTCTCTTGAACAACCATCTCAGTTTGGAGGTCAGGCCTCTTGTGGGCAGCTGGTGGATGACCGGCCCTGTTTTCCAGAAAAATTATGCAACATAGAGGAAGTGAACTGTGAAAATAAATTTCACTGTGATAACGGTAATCCCTGTTTTATTATCTTTATGGTGAACTACAATAAACATTCAATTTAACCAGGGGAGCCTGAGGGGAGGAAGTAAAAAGTAAAAAAAAAAATCAAAATGGTGGTCTCAACCAGGCAGTTGAAACTCCATCCCCTTTTACCTATGGGGGAGATGTTGTTGTGGTCACCGCCATCTTGATTCTCCTGGATTTAACAGGTTTTGGTTAGCTGATTTAAGGCACATTAAAAAAATATGAAAATATATACCTTGCATAAAATATATATTCATAATATATGCAAAATTCCATTCCCATTTCACACAAGCCTAAAATAGGTAAAATGAATAAAATAAGTAAGCATAGCATCCCATTCATTTTTAATGGGAATTATTCTTTAATGGGCATGACTTTCCCTGTATTGGTCTGTTAAAACAAAGGTGTCCTATTAATCATTCTTTAAATTCTGAACATGAAACAAATAATAGTGCGGTTCTAACCTCATGACTTGTCAATATAAAATTCCACTTAGGTGTTATCAAAAGCAGTTACAATGATGTTTTCCCCAAGTAAACCAAATGACTCATTTGCCATCTTGTCCTTTCTGTGCTCATTAGATCTAGATTTTTTTATCTCAACTTTATTATTACTTAAGGCAATAAACAAGTCTAAAATTCCTTCCTTCTTCTCCCCCCCCCACAATAACAACCCTATGTAGTTGAGCTGGGAGAGAGCAGCTGGCCCAAAGTTACCCAGACAACTTTCATTCATAATCTCCTAGCCTGGTGTCCTAACCACTACAGGAAACTGGCTCATTTCCCAATTAACCAGGGCAGTGGTATTTCCTAATAATATTTTCATGCTTCCCTTTACCTGTTTTCCAAAGCCAGCAGTTTTTTGAATTCCAGTTTTGGGGAGATCTTGAGTTATGACTGCCACATCTGAGTTCCAAAATCTGTGTCATTCACTAGACAGCACCAAAAAGCCAATGTTTTCTGTATCATTGCTGCCATTTATGGTCCCCTGACCCAGCTAAGGGAATGCTACCTTAAGAGTAAGGTGGGGAACTCAGAATACCTGTCTACTCGGAGCAATGCCATAGAGTCAATGTTAGATTCTGTATCTGAAATTGACAAAGCCACCATGATTTTTCCAAAACAGGACGCTGTATTGCCAGGAAACTAGAATGTAATGGAGAAAATGACTGTGGAGACAATTCGGATGAACAAAATTGTCGGAAAATAAAGCCTGTCTGCAGGTCGAAAGTTGAAAGCATACCCAAGGTGCAACTCATGGGCCTCGGGTAATATATATGAAGAGCTCTTCTCCATTATTGAACAATGACAGCTAGTAGTCCTTGAGCTAGCAATAAGAACACCACCATCTAGCAATATTGTTATACAGTTATATAAGGATGAACATGTTAGGCCTAACATGTTCATCCTTATATAACTGTATAACAATATTGCTAGATGGTGGTGTTCTTATTTAGAGGACTAAGAGCATATTATGGAGTGATGGATTCCCTGGATAAGTGAAGTCTTGCCTGCATCATCAGTAAGATGGTAACGACAAGGAAACCCATCAAAAATTATGGTACCACTAAAAGAATCCAGAAGTCAAGATTGTGGTTGTGACAATGACTGATGCACATCAAAAGGGTGTGGGCATTGGTTGCTTTTTTGCAGCCATCATCTTGACTCTCTCAATCCCTTCCTGGTGACCCCTGGTGAACTCCCCTGGTGAACTCCCATAAACACCAACTATATAATCCTTTTGTCTTATTTAGGAGTGAAATAGTCTTTGGGGCCATTTAATGTAATTTCAAATCTGCCAATAACTTGTACAGTGTATTTGAAAATTCCATAATTTTAGTTGGCTGGCATGCTCACAAAATAGAATAGCAATGTTGCTTATTCACAAGATTGTTGCCAGGGCAGGTGTGGCCAATCACAAAAGATTAGTTTTCCAGAATGTTCTCTTCCATGCCAGTATGAACTTTGTAGGTTTCATATAAATGTAGATACTCGCATACCAGCTTTCTATTCATTTTAATAAATTAAAATGTACTTTGTAAAATTTGATAGGATATGTAGCCTGGTGCCCATTGTGGGAGCTGTCTAAGAGCTCATATGGGCTTATTTGTTTGTTTGTTTGTTTATCCATCCAATTGATATGGCTGCCTCTCTCAACTATTGACTCTAGGTGGTGAACTGAATTAAAATAAAATAAAAACAATTATAAACATTACATATATTAAATATCAAACTCAAATCAGTAATACAACCAAGAAGCAGTGGCTGTACAAACACTCAGAGGTCCAGGGCCAAGCACAGAACTACATTTTTAGGGCCTTACAAAAGGCCATCAAATCAGGCTCATTCTGATTTCTGGAGAGAGATTGTTCCACAAGGTGGATACTACAACAGAAAAGGCACATCTACTAGGTCCTGCCAATGACCATTCTTTGGCTGATGGGATCCAGAGCATGCCCAACCTGCCTGCCTGGATAAAAACAACTGAGGAAAGAAAGTTCCAGGTAACCAATCCAAAAACATGAAGAGATTTAAAGGTGAAAACCAGCACCTTCAATTGCACCAAAAAGAACAGTGACAATCAATGTAGCTCATGGAGTTTTGGTGTTATATATGTTTCATAACTGCACCACTTATTACCCATGTCACCACATTCTGCACCAGTTGAAGTTTTGGAATGCATTTCAAGGGCAGTCCCACGTAGAGCACATTGCAGTAACCCAGATGAGAAATCAGAAGTGCTTATCATTGTTCTGATCATCTTTCTTTGATTACAATGATGTTCTAGGTATCATGTCCTGGCTGGAGAAACTCGTGGAGAAGTCCTTGATAATTCATTCAACAATGGTAGCTGTGTTCTGCTGAAAAGTGAAAACCAAAGAACTAGATATCGTTTACCTGCTAACCTCTATAATATCACTTTTGAGGTGATTAAAAATGTTTTTAATAAGACCGGGTGCTATATTAGCCATTGAACAATTTCAGTGTATATTCATCAACTTTTCTCCTAGGTTTTATCTCCATTTAGTTAGCCACCTAAGAACTGGAAGATGTCTTAAGAGCCTTCCAGAAGATCAGGGTGGGAGGCAGTCTAACTATGAGAGGATGTCCCAAAGAACAAAGAAGGCTCTCCCTTTGGGTCCTGTCAAATGACATTCCTTGGTAGGCTGGATCTATAACATGGCTCTCCTGTCTGAGCTAATGGGAATGTTCATTTTTGTTGCATTAAAGCAGTAAAAAAGAACCTTTATTTAACACTGAGCAGATCAATCAGGTGTTTAGTGAAACTAAGCTGATGGGAATATCACTAGTATTTCAGTCTGCGGATGATCAAATGGAGCCATAGAGAAAATAGCTAGGCCAATACAATTTTGTCTGAACTTCATGACTCAACCTTCACTCCTACATGCTTAATTGCAATGTTGTGATGCATGTTTGCAACCATAACAAGTGGTTTGTTGTTTGCTGTTTCCATGCCCATATTCGCACTTTGAACACCCAAGTTTCAAATGTGCTTGTTGCTGAAGCAAATGGGATCCCAATGGGATTTCTTAATGCAGGGACTTCTGAACTCTTGGCTCAATCTCTAAGTCTATACCAGCGTTCATATATAAAACTGTAGACATTTTTGCATATACATGTCTTTTAAAATATTATTTTTTCCAAACAATTATTTTTTACAAAAGCTAACATTTTTATTTTTGATGGCTTTTAATTCTCCTGCCTCCCTTCCAAGAACACATCTGTAATTATACAAATCTCTGTTCATAGGTGAAAACTCAAGAAGATAATGTGATAACAGAGTCCTACAACAGCTTAACACCCATGACCCGTTCTCATAGTCAAACCTCATCTTCTCGGAGTGTTGGGAGAGGTACTTCTGGAATCCCCTATTTTTGGGGGTCAATAACAACCACAACATCAACATCATCTTATCAGTTTAAGCAAGCCATTAAAGCATCCAAAAAAATGGTAAGAATCTGTATCCTTGGAACTAAGCTCTTCTATATTACAGGCAGTCCTCATTTAGAGACCACAATTGGGATTGGCAGCTCAGTTGTTAAGCAAAGCTAAGTGAAACCACAACTGTGCTTATGGTATGATTTCAAACCTTTCCTTTCATTTAAAGACATATTATAAATATGAGGACTGGACATTTTTCTTCACTGTTGTAATTTTAAATAATGATAAATGAGGCAGTTATTAATTGAAGACAACTTGTGTTACAGGAGTCCCCAAACCCTGGCCACTACCGGGCCACAGCCTGTTCAGAACCGGACCATGCAAGTGGCTGGCCAGTGTACGGATGAGCACAGCTTGACTTGCAGGAGCCACAGGCTAGCACCCACATGTGCATCTCAACTTGCATGAGTGGCATACCGGTTCCCTCTCTCCCTTCTCCACCAGGCCACCAAGCTGTAAAGGCTGGGGACCACTGTTATATAGACTTTTATTGCTACTATGGTGTTCTGCTATAAAAACTTGGAGGTAGTGGCATTTGGGTGGTGATGGTGGTGGTGTCAAAATTGACAAGATGGCAGACAGAGAATTGCAATATAAGCGTACAGAGGAATGCAATGCTCAATCTACCATCTTGAAACCCCAGCCCCCTCAGCAGGTACCGTTGCCTGGAAGAGAATTAAAATGAATATTCTGGACAACCTTTTGACAATTTCATTGTTAAAATTTCAGCAAAGACCTTTTAATGTTGACTTAGTTCTCTATTGCAGTTTCAGCTGATTTAACTGCCTTTCTTTTTAAAAAATGTAGCCAGCACCAGTGGAAGTTTCCTCCAAGAGAGAGATTTGTTTGTAAGCAAACATCATTATTTTGCTTAAAATTTATGGTCCCATTTAATGAAGGTGTGCACAACTTGATCCTTCCTATTGTGAAATTACTTACAATAGCCAATTATTTTTATCTGATTGATTGTTTGCTAGTAAGTCATTTTTGATTCCTAATGACCACAGAGATAGATTTTCTCCATGATAATCCAGAAGATATTTGAACTCCATGATAATCCAGCCCATTTTTGATTCCTAATGACCACAGAGATAGATTTTCTCCATGATAATCCAGAAGATATTTGAAGTCTTCCATTGGTGTATTCATCACCTTCTCAATGTATTTACTCTTAACTCTCAGCATCAGCCATGCTCATTTGGTTTCTTTGAAGTGCTGATTCAGCAACACCTGGCAAGCCACAGGTTTCTCATTCATTTTTCTCTTATATTGTGGACACAGTGCTTGAATTCTGCTGGGCAATGGTCCAAGAGAAATCTGTAAATGTCATCCCTTGATCCCCATTCTCAATTTTCCTCATATTATCAGTTCCATTGCTTACATGAAACAGAGATTAGGGGAGAAATGGAGGAGAGTGCAGGTTTGTCTCTAGGTGTTTGGAAACTCCTTGCCTGGAGCAGTACTACTTAAACAGGTAGCCCTCGACTTAGGACCACAATTGACCCCAAAATTTCTGTTGTTAAGTGAGACATTTGTTAAGTGAGTTTTGCCCCATTTTATAACCTCATTGCACTTGATAAGTTAGTAACATGGTTGTTAAGTGAATCTGGCTTCCCCATTGATTTTGCTTGTCAAAAGGTTGCAAAAGGTGATCACACGACATTGGGACCCAGCAACGGTCATAAGTATGAGTCAGTTGCCAAGCATCTAAATTTTGATCACATTATTATAGAGATGCTACAAAGGTCGTAAATGTGAAAAACGGTGATAAATCACTTTTTTCAGTGCTGTTGTAACTTTGAACAGTAAGTCAAGGACTATCTGTATTTATTTATGTAATTTATTTATATAATATATATCGCCACCCCTCTCATTCAGGTTCCTCTGAGTTGCATACAAGGCTTAAAAACCTAAAAGGTCATGGACAAAAAGAAAGCATGAGACACAATAACATTCCGTATCTATTTTGTTATGTTTTCCAGTCTTCCAATTATATTAGGATCCATAAGGTGTTTGCAGTTTCAAATTTCACAATGAAGGAGCAAGATCTGCAGCTCTCTGAGGTGTTCTTAAAGTCTCTCAACAACCTGCCTCTGGAGTACAACTATGCCTTATACAGCCGGATTTTTGATGACTTTGGGACACATTATTACACATCTGGTTTATTGGGAGGCAAATATGACCTTCTGTACCAGTTTAGTGAGGAAGAAATAAAAAATTCAGGTATGTGGGTCCATATGCTGTGAGTGCTGAAGATAAAGTATCTATATCTTTGTTTCTGATGATTTGCTTAGAAATTAAGAGTTTTAGCAGGGAGGATGGATCTCTCAATGGTAATTAATCCAACAAAACAAGCAAAACAACAGAAATAAAGAATTCTACATATTATCTTCTGACTAGTGCTATTATAAAAAACTGAGAATAAAAAATATAAATAAGAAATAATTGAACACTCTCCACAAGAATTTCTCTATGGTGTTGGGTAATAATTTAATATGGATTCAATATGGGGGGGGGATCATGGATTCTCTTGGATGAATCCAAGGAGAAAAGAAGAGTGTTGTTTTCCTGTAGTAGAGACAGAGCTGGAGGGGGATTGTATTTACTTTCCAAATGGTTTCTGGAATGCTCTGCAATCATGTGCTCAGCCCAAGGAGTGCCAGAAGAAGGGAGGAGCCCCACAGAGTTGCCATAATAAGAGGTGGTTTAAGTTATAGGATCTCCATTGACTGCTTTTCCTCTGCAGTTCCTGACACCTTTTGAAGCTTCCAAAATAATGTAGGAAATAGCCATTAGGACTGTAGGAAGGCTATGAAATGGAGATTCAACCTAGAAATAAAGAGGAATTTCCTGATGGTTGTTGTTGTTGTTGTTAATTGCGAAGTCGTGTCCGACCCGTCGCGACCCCATGGACGACATTCCTCCAGGTCTTCCTGTCCTCTACCATCTTCTGGAGTCCATTTAAATTCACACCTACTGCTTCAGTGACTCCATCCAGCCATCTCATTCTCTGTCGTCCCCTTCTTCTATTGCCCTCAATCTTTCCCAGCATTAGGCTCTTCTCCAGTGAATCCTTCCTTCTCATTAGGTGGCCAAAGTACTTGAGTTTCAACTTCAGGATCTGGCCTTCTAAAGAGCAGTCGGGGTTGATCTCTTCTAGGACTGACCGGTTTGAACGCCTTGCAGTCCAAGGGACTCGCAGGAGTCTTCTCCAGCACCATAGTTCAAAGGCCTCAATTCTTTTGCGCTCAGCCTTTCTTATGGTCCAACTTTCACAGCCATACATTGCAACTGGGAAAACCATGGCCTGGACTATACGCACTTTTGTTGGCAGGGTGATGTCTCTGCTTTTTAGAATGCTGTCTAGATTTGCCATAGCTTTCCTCCCCAGGAGCAAGCGTCTTTTAATTTCTTGGCTGCAGTCCCCATCTGAGGTGATCTTGGAGCCCAGAAAAATAAAATCTGTCACTACCTCCATTTCTTCCCCATCTATTTGCCAGGAATTGAGAGGGCCGGATGCCATGATTTTGGTTTTCTTAATGTTGAGTTTCAAGCCAACTTTTGCACTCTCCTTCTTCACCCGCATCAAGAGGCTCTTTAGTTCCTCTTCACTTTCTGCCATTAGAGTGGTATCATCTGCATATCTTAGGTTGTTGATATTTCTCCCGGCAATCTTAATTCCAACTTTTGATTCATCTAGCCCTTCCTGATGGTAGGAATGATTAATCAATGGAACAGCTTATCCCCCAGAGTTTTGGATGCTCCATTGCTGGATGTGTTCAATAAAAGACTGGACAACCACTTGTCTCAGATAATATAAGGACTCCTGCCTTGACCAGGGTGTTGAACTAAAAGATCTCCAAGGTCCCTTCCAGCTCTAGGATTCTGTGATTCTGTGAAATCATCAAAAATAACTTCTTTTATTTTCTATCAGTATGAGCATTTTCAGCAGCAGTCTACAGGTAATCTTTGACTTACAACCACAATTGGACCAGGAGTGCCATTGTAAATCAGTGCAGTTGTAAAGGAAGTCATAACATGACCACACTGATTTATGAAGGTAATCCTGGTACTACCTGATGTAATCATTAACTGAAAATTGGGGAGGTGGGGTTAAGCAAATATCCTCCCCTAATGAAAGCCATTCTGGCTTAGTCCCATTCATCCAACTTCAGTAAGGTAAGGGACTGCTCCAACTTCTCCACCTGTCTAACTCCCCCTCCCATTGCTGCCCTTTCACTGCTCTACTACAGCCTACCTTGCAGAATGGCTAGTAGCTCATGTAACTCTGAATGCTTGTTGAATGAATAACATAAGTCAAGGACTCCCTGTATTCAGGATGCCACCATATTTTATCTAAGTGGAATACAACTTTCCAAAAGAAAAACCAGAAAGATTTGAAGGAAAAGATTTGCTGCCATTAATATATTCTCTTTGAACCTAACATGGTTCTTCCTGCATTAACTTAGGAACTTCAGACTACCTCAGGAGATATTGATACAGTTCTACAGTGGAATTATTGAGTCTGTCATCTCTACTTCTATAACAGTCTGTTTGATACAGCAACTAAACAGGACAGGTACAGACTCCAACGGTTAGTTTAGAACTGCAGAAAAAATAACTGCAACCAGTCTGCCTTCCATAGAAGACCTGTATATTGCATGGGTTCAAAGGAGGGCAGAAAATATCTACAGACCCTTCATATCCTGGACATAACTGTTTCAACTTCTTCCCTCAGGATGCCACTATAGGGCATTGCATGCCAAAATAACTAGACACGGGGACAGTTTTTCCCCTCGTGCCATCACTCTGCTGGACACTTAGTCCTCACAGTATTGTCTTATGTCTAAGTATATTTACCCACAGAATGGGACAACTCACAGCAGTCAACTCGCTGTGGCCAATTTATCACAGCCAACTCGCCCCAACTTGCCATGGGACAATTTAACAATTCAATTTAATTATTTAAAATAAATAAAAAATTATGTCATTCACATTTCATTCTGCCCTTCCTTTTGCATCCTTTCTTTAGTGATTCTATTTCATCATTTCTTTGATATGAGTGTAACTTTTGTCCTGCAGCAAGTTGTCCCACGGCAACGAGTTGTCTTGCAGCAAGTTGGCAACAGCAAGTTGGAGAATTGTCATAGACCTATTTACCCATGTTGCATGACTGCAGTATTATTAACCTTCTTATCTTCTCTACTACCCTCTCTTTTTGGTATCATTATTATGATTATTATTACTCTGTTGCTTCAAATGTACATTGAGAGCTTTTCCTCACCAGAGACAAATTCCTTGTGTTCTAATCACACTTGACCAAATAAAGTATTCTATTCTATTTTAAATTCTTCCTTTTAGCCAAATATTGGGTTCATCCCAATCAGTTGTGACTTGTTATTGAATTCTGTTTTAGTGCAGGATATTTTGTGATACTGAACTTGGATTCTTCTCTTTGTTAATGAAATTTGGAGCTCCTACTGAGAAAGGTTCCCAGGTGTTGCCTTTTCTAAGCCTGTTTAAGAAAACTAAATCAAAAATTTCAATTTAATGTGTTCATGTGGCAATTGGAGGGTGAAAAAAGGGGTAGGAATCACTTAGATATAAAATCCCCTAAATTTTTAGCGTACAAATAAAAAGCTTTTAAAAATCATTTACACTGGAAAAAAAATCTAAAAATTTCTTTCAGGTATAGAACAAAAAAGTCAAGATGGTGTCCAGAATGATGCAATCAAAGCCTTATCTCTAATGCACATTAAAAATAAGGTAGGGCTGCAATTACACAGTCATAGATACCATGTTGACTTTTTATTATCCCCTCTCCTTCCTCAGAGAATCCTGTGTACCTTGCAATTTGAAGATTAAAAAATGGTAGGTTGGTCAGGTAATGTCATTTTTAAAGATTGTGTACTATAATGCTTGACAACTTGGATAATTTGAGAAAATTTATTTTCTGTTTTTACTATTGAATTATACCTAGGTTTAACAACAGAACAAATGAAAAACTGTGTAAATACAGAGACACAGAAATATGTTTTCTTCGTTAGGTCAACTAAACATTATGAATATTGCAGCCAAAATAAGCTTACAGAACGCCATGAAGGTAAACAACATTTTCAATCAATCAATCAATCAATCAATCAATCAATCAATCAATCAAGTTTAAGGCACTTCTTTTACCCCATAAAACATACAACACACCCACAGACAAACACACCCACACACTATTATATTGTCTTATATGTTAGGTTCTTCTCATTCCCCAGATTTAGTGGCTCCTCCAGTGTAAGCACTCTGTCAATAGTCCAAAACAGATGTTTTATTGCTGACCATCTATAATACAAGAATCTTGCTAGATTGGCTCTTCTTGGGAAGTGGTAGATCTCAGATGTTTCTTCCCCCCCCCCCAAACTCCAAGCTGGAATGTCTCTTTATTCCCCTTGGAGCCACCCCCCCAGCTCCTTCAGCCAGTGAATCCGCCATATCCATGCAGTTAAATATATAACTCTTCTGTGAAATTCGTCCATTTTAGGTTCCATGTTGAAGTCATCTGAACGGTCTATTTCTTTGATTAAGGGTGGGCAGGCACAGTATGCTGCAGCTCTAGCCTGGGAAAGAAAAGGCTCTTTGCCAGGACATGATATCTTTAATAACTGGCTGGAATCAGCCAAAACCAATCCAACTGTGATTGATTTTGAGGTAAGTGATAAAAAACAAGAGGAAAACAGAATGTCCTACCTATGCAAAGGCCAAACTCCCGTGAACAGAACAACAAAAAAAGAGGATGTTGCATATTTTGAATGAATGCTACAGTATTTAAAATGGACAGATCTTGTGATATCCTCTCTTATTTTACTTATGGAGTTGGTAACAACTAAACTTCATGCCTCTCCTGATATTATGCTTTTGAGACTGCGGAAGGCAATCATTCCCAGATAGAAGGCCCAAACTAATATTTCTTTGGTTTAAGAAGTCTGCTGGGACAAGTTTTGAGAAATTAAATTAATTAATTCTTTCTTTCTTAGGTTTCCCCCATTGTGGATTTGGTGAAGAACTTCCCCTGCTCTGCAACAAAACGTTTTAATCTCAGGAAGGCCTTTTCTGAATATATGAGAAAATATGATCCCTGCCACTGTGCCCCGTGCCCCAATAATGCTCAGCCAGTTTTATCTGAAACTGGATGCCTCTGTCTATGTAAGTCTGGAACATATGGAAGCAACTGTGAGCTGCGAGCTCCTGACTATAGATCAGGTATTTTTACAACAGCTCCATCTTATTTTATTATACAATTCCCATGACGGTAACAAGATTTGCCCAAAAATAATGGTGCCCTTGCATTGAAGTTTCAGTTTCTGCTATGGTATAAATAAGGTAACTAAAAGAGCTAGACAGTCCTAAGGTCAAATTTAATTTTAGGCAAAAACTAAAATTTTGGGCAAAAACTAAAATTAGCAAAACCATTCCTTACCCTACCCTTGTCCTACAATTAAAAATATGGGAAAATATTATATGTTGTTATATGTCGTCAAATGTTATTATAGCTTACATAGCAGTTTTGCATCATTGAGAAAAGGCATATAAATTCATTTCCATGCTGAAAAGATACAACAGATGTAATTGAGGGGTGGGCAATCTTTAAAAGATCAGGTCCAATTCAGCCTTCTGACTATACAATGGATTTCTAGTGGCTTGGTAACATTATTGAACAAACCTTAGGGACTTTTGTTCTCTCTTTCTTTTTTTCTTTCTCTCTCTTTCTTTTCTTTCATCACTGGAGATAACATAGCTATAGTTTATAGTAGAAAGTTGAAAAAACATTCCAGAAAAAGGCAACTGGAAACAATTTCTTTACTGTTATAAAGAAAACAACATGAGGGCATACATGAACAATTGAGAATTAAGTTTTGGAGTCTTTTCTTTAGTAACGTACTTAACCTGTCTACATAGAAAATGTTTTAAGATGTTTATAACTCTGCCATGAGTAATAGAACATGTACTTGATTTCTGAATTTGACTTTTTCCATCTTTGTCTTTCTCAAATAGTGGAAAATCTTTAAAAATATCATAGGAAATAAATTCATTTCTTAGAAAACTAAAATAAGATCAGAACAGAATGCTGCACAAAATTTAAAAGTCAATATAAAATTACATTTTTAAAAACTAATCAGCAAATCAGACACACAGTATAATTAGTAGTTAGGTTAAAAGTAGATAGAATGCCTTTGAAAATTAGAAATGTGTTCTTTGCATGATGCATATTAAGATCACACTGACTACTGTGTTGGAATTCCATCACATTGCATACTGTAGGTATTGCAATCCAAATTACTGATGCAGGCTAGGCGGTAGTAGCAGTTGAGATTAAAGAAACTGGGGGCATCAAGATGGAGAAAGCTGAAATATGGATAGACTCTTTTGCTCATATCAAGACTGTACAGCCAAGGCTACAAAAGGATTGTGTTGTTTTGCATTCCAGTTGCAGTAGACGGCTACTGGAGTTGCTGGTCAGCATGGAGTGCTTGTGACGCATCTTTTAAGAGGCAAAGAACTCGGCTGTGCAACAATCCTGTACCCATGAATGGAGGAAAACCTTGTAAAGGTGACGCTGAAGATGAGGAACGGTGTTTTATCTCAATGTTTAAAAGCCAGTAAGATATGTATTATTATAAAATACCAGGGGGATTCTCACCCGCCAAGATTTTGTTAAAGTAACAGAATGTGCATCTTGATATCAGTGCAGGCCTCCTCCATTTTGACGCATGTTTTAACCTTTGGTTTCCCTTTTGCATGCCTATGGGTAATGATCTCAGGACCCAACTGTGTATTATTCAAAAAAGGAGGGGAAGAAATATGTGGCCTTCCAGATGTCTTTTGTGAGATGAGGAAGTCCAAAATCTCATTGCATAGAAAGTGAATCTTTAAAAGAGCATAAAGGATATAAAGTATGATAGTCCCCATTAACACTTGAAAAGGTGATTGCTAAAGTAAGTTAAATGTCCCCTTTCAGATCCCTCAAGTGGATGCAACCCAAGGAATTTTGTTCCCAGCATTTTGAAATTGAGAAGCCATTTTCCAAGGACCCTTTAAATCTGAAAGAAGTAGACAGAGCAAATCAGAAAGCTATAAATATCCCTCCTAGATATTGGGGGATGCCAAATGTAAAATGAATGTCTTTGGCCTATCAGATTGTTTACAATCCACTGGTTATCTATGACTTTTTGTGTTATGGTTTTCTTTTTAATGAATTCCTAAATGGACAATGTTACAATTACAGGGGTGCTACTTGTGTAAATGATGATGATTATACTGAAGAAGGACAGATAAAATCTAAATGTGACACAGGATGTTTCACTCCAGAAGCACCAGAAAATGGATTCATCAGGGTTAGTAGCATTTAATGGCCTAGAGAAGACTCTGACACTTTTCTAAGTGGATCCCAATCTTTCACCAAATAGTACTAATGCTAGAGTGCCTTTTTAAGCTCTTGAGATAAGGTACTCCCAGAAATGAATTTGTGAGATCCTATTACAATTCAACCCCTTACATGTGTTGGGAATGTAATGTAAGAATTCTCAGAGAGGAATTTGAAGAGTTGATTCCTAATATTTCTAGAGAGTGTTATATTGGAAAAGATGAATGTACTGTTCATACTTCTGTTCCAGAGATATTGTAAATCTCTAACATACACAGATATTAAGGAATTGATCGACAGGTCTGAGAAATTAATTCCAGTAAATAGGTGGATTATAGACACCTTGATTTATGTGAATGGCCATATATTTACAAGACCACTTGAAAAAGATTCACATGATTATTATAAAGGAGAGCAATTGTGGTTGCCATCCAAAATTGAATTTAAAATGAGATTATTTCAAAATATCTCCTATTAAAGATGTAAAAGAATTTTGCCTCAAATTCTATTGGGAACAAATGACAGTATACAATTCTCATTGGACTTTTCAACAAGCCAAAGTCTTGCATCCTCCTTTGGTTATAAAGAAAATTTGTCTTAAAAATAAAAGCTATTATAAATCTGGGCAGGAGTTTTAGTGATTCATACTTACATATTGAATATTTTTAATAAATCTTAAGCTGCCCATTACATCCCTGATCTCTTGGCACACTCATAAAGTTATCCATTTTGACATGCACAACCAAATGTTCAGCTGCATATTAACTTCTTTTTCCTTAATCGCAGGAGTATTTTTAAAAACCTGCTGCCATTATTCTAAATTGGTTTCCTTTTTTTTTTTGAAGTACATTCTCTTTAACCCTCCCCTCTTTTGTTATGTTTATTTTATAACTTCTTTAATTCGTGATACTTTTGTTGCTACCAGGAGAACTCAAATTATTGTAGTATTGTATCAGTCCCACTTTCAAAGTCTAAAATATCCAATTCATGTAATGAATATTCCATTTATTGCACTAAACTTTTACTTTGTAGAATGAAAAACTGTGCTATGAAGTTGGAGAACAAGCGGAAGTGCTTTGCTTCAGTGGCTATTTTCGCTCAGGATACCCATTCTTTAGCTGCCTGCCGGACAAAACATGGGCACAACAACAGAACGTTGAGTGCCAATGTAAGAAACAGAATACATTGGATAAAAAGAAATAAATCAAATGCCTTATGATTAATAATATATCCCTTCAAGAGAGAAATAAGAAAACATAAGTTTGGATCTTTAAATTCATTGAGGTCAAATGGAATTCTGAGTAAAGGGCCACTTTTTTTCACAAACGTACTCTAATGATAACTAAATATTGATCCAGATCTCAGTTTCAACTTCCCAATCCAAATGGCTTGATATAGTGTTATCCATCAGCATGGAGTGCAGACTAAAATACTTTGTTCAGTCTAATATTAAGGATTTTAATGTGTAGATATCCTCATTTTCTTTGAGAGGCAGTTCAACACTTGGTATGCCCCAATAGAAGAATAGAAAAAAGTTGTATTTTACTCCAAAGAGACGATGGCATGTATCAGTCCAGTTTTACTCCTAATAATTCTATTGTTTAGGAAACAGCTACATGTTACCCTCAGAATGAGCCAACTTAATACAGTGGCCAGATATCTTTACTTGACCAGAAAGACTTTGGTTCAAATTCATACTCATGAATTAAAATGACTTAACTTAACTTTAATCAGTCATATAAAATTGTATGAAAACATATGCAGCTCTGAGCTCCTTAGGGAAATGTTAAGAATATGTAATTCTTACATGAAAGATGAGGCTAAATATAATTAATAATTGTATTACTATAATTATTTGTAATCTCATCTTTCCTGTAAGATGAAGAAAAATAGAAAGCATTCATGTGTTGGTGGCTGTTCATCTTTCATCAGGAAAAGAGATACTGTATAGTCATGTGGATTTAAATAGGCCTCTGGTTTCTCTCATCATCCAGAAAAAGCAAAATCAAGTTTCTGGCTGTTTTGCACGTAAGGAAGGATGGTGCTAAAGCAGTGTTTCTCAACCTTCTCAATTTTAAGATGTGTGGACTTCAACGCCCAGAATTCTCCAGGAATAACTTCCTAGCTAGCTTCAGCTGAAATGTTCGGGGGGGGGGGGAGAGGGAGGAAGAAAAAAGTAATATGTGACTATTAAGGACAGTTTACTATTTAAAATCTCTTTAATTTTTCTAAATAGTTTTGGTTAGTTTTAGACCATATTTGAGTGCTTTTTAGATTTTTGGTCCTAATATAAGGAGATTTTAAAAATCCTAATTTTATTCTAACGCTTGATTTGTATGCTTATGTTGTATTTTTATATTGCATATAGACCTATATATTTCAGTATATTGCTCAATCATGTTTTGTTACATAAAAATATGTAAATCATAACATTTTTTTTCTTAAACTCCAGGGTTGGCTTGTGACAAACCATCAGTTTCTGATGCTGTCCATGTGACCCCATTTAAAATTCAGTATGACATTGGGGACACGATCCACCTGAGCTGTCCTAGAGGTTACAGTCTTACAGGCCCAGGGACTTACAAATGTGGGGACCAAACGTCCTGGATGCCTGCTATTCTAAGCTCACTTGATTGCAGGAAAAGTATGTTTCATGTTTGCTATAGATAGTTCATTAGTGTTATTTTCTTCTCTTTTTTGCTCACTATTCTGTGTTGAAGATTTAGTGATGGGAGTATCTGTACATCAAGAAAGATAGAATGCACTTTGAGAATTACTAATAAACCTATAATTTGGGGTAAATCTGCAATGAGGTCTTACTTAGTCCATCTAAATAAAGCAGTGATAAGAGTGGAAAATTGTGCAAAAGGAATGTGAACTCAGTCTTGCTACTGAAAGCCTGATTTGAAGCATGTGCTCAGAAGTGCTTTGTCCTTTAATTCTGCTAGATGTACAGCCAATCTTTTATTTCCCAGAGACTGTATCTTACCCTCTAGTAACCAGAATGCAGACTGCCACCCAACAGCCTATTCTACTATCTGTAGGGAATTAATGATTTCTATTGGGGTATGATTTTTTTTACATAAATTTGAGCAGGTGACTGCAGGTTTCTTGGTGAGGTGAATCTTAACCATAAGCAATGTTTAGTTGGTATTGTATTTTTTTCTCAAAATGAACAAAATGACTTCAAGAATTCCTCTAAACCTTGAAAAGATCTGGCATGCCTACAGCAGAACTGCACTCTTTGTAGAGAAGCTTCTGCTTTCTGACACTTTTTGGAATGACCCATGTGATTGCCATGAACGACATTCAGCCTAAAAATAGTGGAAGGGGAGATATGTCTCTGCAAAAGAGAGCCTACTTTTATTGTAAGAATGGCAATGTTTTAGAAGGTTGGGTGCCAATTTCTTCCAAGTAATCTGGAGCATGTTACCTTAAGGAAAATATCTCCAAAAAGTGACAAAGCTGTAAAGTGCCTTCCAGTGTTGATAGGTTTTGAGGATCCCTATTACAGTATGATGAACAGTTCTTAGAAAATAGAGATGGTCTCACAAAGTTCTAGGCCTAAATGGATAGTAGACTGAAGCAGATTTTTGAGGAGTGTACAACTCTAGCCTTCCATGTCTAATTAACATGTGTCTTGGGTTGTGTATGGAGTATGGAATTCTGTTCAAAGCATCATAAACAGTTCTTTCTTGACTAAACATGATCCCAGTTGAGATATCTAAATTTTACTTCTTTTTCAGATTATACTAGGATGTTAAAACTCACAACCTGCTTGTCAACTGATTTGAAATCTGACTCTTTCCCTCTTTCTCTTAATTCCTTCTTTAGGTGAGTCACGTCATGTCAAAGACAATTGCAGTCTTGGGAAAAAAGAGGTGGATTCTCATTGTGTCTGCATATCCCCAGAAGAGAACTGCAAGTAAGTATAGGTGCAAAATATTGTAAATAACCAGATTTCAGATTTTATAATCTGCCTATAGTTTGGCAGCCCTCTTATTTTTGCTGGCAGCAGATTTTTCTTCAGCAGGAAAGCATCCCTGTTTTTATAAGTACAGGTGGAGAGCAAAATTAGATTTATTAGGTCTCTGGGGGATTGTATATATAGCTGATGGCCCATACTCATTAAGTTTTTGTGCTGAATCTCAGCAGTTACAGCTGAACTAAATAATTTGGCTCAGTGATTTCTGAAATGTTTGCAGAGGTTAGGTGAAATTCAGTACTTCCTGAAGACCAATAATAAAATAGAGGAACTACATCAGGATGTCACCTTGTTCTAAGGGTCATTATGTCCCAATGAATATATCTGGATTGGTGAAAAGAGAAAAGCTGCCTTATTGAAGCATTTGCAAGGCTTTCAGGGAGACGACTGAGGGAGGGGAAAAAACTATTTTGCTAATTTTTCAATTCACCTGCACTCTGCAAATCTCTGAGCTATTAAATGTTTTGCAGAATTTCAGAGCAAAGTCTTGCAAGGGAAAACTTAAATTATACATATTTTAACCTAGAAAGTGTTACACAGTACAAGTAAACAAAACAAAAACTCCACTGAATGCATTTCCAAAGCAGAGATTGCCAGTACTCTTTTGGATAAAACTCAAAATACTGTTCTGTGGCCTGGTTTTCTCCTGGTAGTAATTGGGGTCCCTGGCCTTTGTACAGATGTGTTATGTCCCGAGCCTTTGCAAACGGCTCGGGCGTTTGCAGGCAGTCCCGGGCAGGTGCAAAGCTGCCCGGGACCAGACAGGCTGTCGCCAGCGCCGTGCGCATGCGCGGGTGCTGGCGCGGGAAAAGTAACCCATTTACCCGGGAGTTGCCTATATAAGAGGCTGCGAGGCGTTTGGGCGAGGCTGAAGCCATCTTCCTGTAAGCTGAACGCTGAATAAAAGAAACTGAGAACTCCAGCTGCTTCTCGTGTCTGTTTTCCCGCCAAGGACGCAACACTGGCGACGAGGTGGGATGCCTTGCACTACCTGGAAAGGAAGAAGTGTAAGCTTACCCAAGGAGTCCTGAGCGGCGGAAGAGGAACGGCGTCGACTCGGCAGCTGCCCGCCAATCCGGTGCGCATTCGGGGGTAGGCTGGCTGATAGACCCGTCTCCTGAAGATCCGAAGATGGCGAAAATCGGAAGGCTTTCGGAATTCGACGTCTCACATCCAGAGCGGTGGGAGTCCTACGTATCCAGAATGGAGAACTACTTCAAGGCAAACCAAGTGAGGGAAGATAGCTTGAAGGCGGCCACCCTGCTTTGCGTTTGCGGCCAAGACGCCTTCGAAATCGCAGAAAACCTTGCAGCACCTGTCCCAGTAGAGTCTGTAAGCTACGCAGACCTGAAGAAGCTGCTGAAAGAGCACTTCCACCCCAAGGTGTCCGTTATCTCATGGCGCCACACCTTCGAGCAGAGGGATCAACGGTCCGGTGAGTCAGCCAAGAATACATCGCCGCGTTACGGAAGGCCGCCAAGCCCTGCGAGTTCAAGGACCTCGAGGAACGACTGAGGGACCGATTCGTGTGCGGGTTAAGGCATCGCGAGCTACAACAGAGACTTTTCGCAAAGGAAGAATTATC